CCCCAAAGAAAGGGAAAAACCCTTTTTAAACCAAACATAAAAATTTGTTTTGTTTCCGCCAAAAATTTTCCTTGGGGAAACAAAATTAAAAAACCCTTTTTGGTTTTTTGGCCGGGGAAAAAAAAAGACACCCAAAAAGAAAAGCGCACAGTGGGGGCATGGGGGGGGGAACCCCCAAAATAAAAAGGGGAACCCGGGGAAAAGGGGGGGGTTAAGAAAAACCCGCCCCAAAACCCCTTTGGGAAAATTAGGGAAAAAATTTAAAGCCAAAAACTTTGGGGTGGGGTTTTTCCCTTTTTTAAAAGTTGGAAGCACTACCCCGGGTTCGCAACGGGGGGGGGGGCCCCAAAAAACCCCCAATGGGGGGGAATGGGGGGAAGGAGGGGAAAAACCCCCCCTGTAAACCCCAAAATTTTCCAGGATGAAGTATTGCCCTTTCTCAAAAGATTAGTTTTTGAGCGGGAAAAGAACAAAAAAAAGGGGTCTTGAGAAAGTTTTTTCCAATAAAATTAAAGTCGAGGGGAAAAGGGGGGGGGAAAAAAAAAAAGGGGGAAAAAGAAAAAAACCCAAAAAACCAAAACCCCCAAAAAAAAGGATAAAGAAAAAAAAAGACCCAAAAGAGAAAAAAAAGGGGGGGGGGCCCCCCCCCCAAAAAAAAAAAAAAAAAAACCCCCCCCCCCCCCAAAAAAAAAAAAAAACCCCCCCCCAAAAACCCCCCAAAACCCCCCCCCCCCCCCAAAAAAAAAAAAAAAAAAAAAAAAAAAAAAAAAAAAAAAAAAAACCCCCCCCCCCCTAAAAAAAAAAAAAAAAAAAAAAAAAAAACCCCCCCCCCCCCGGGGGGGAAAAAAAAAAAAAAAAAAAAAAAAAAAAAAAAAACCCCCTCAAAAAAAAAAAAAAAAAAAAAAAAAAAACCCCCCCCCCCCCCCCCCCCAAAAAAAAAAAAAAAAACCCCCCCCCCCCCCAAAACCCCCCCCCCCCCCCAAAAAAAAAAAAAACCCCCAAAAAAAAAAAAAAAAAAAAAAAAAAACCCCCCCCCCCCCCAGCCCCCCCCCCCCCCCCCCCCCCCAAAAACCCCCCCCCTCCCCCCCCTCCTCCCCTCCCCTTTCCCCTCCTCCTCCTCCCCCCTTTTCCTGTCAGATCACATGAGGACCATGCCTGCAGTGATGTTCAAGACTGTTAAACAGGACAGGAGGACTCCTGTCTACATCTAGTCTCTCCATTGACTGCATCCTCAATGACACCCTATTCACTATGTAGTGCACTACTTTTGCCCATGGCCCAAATGGCTCTAGGTTCACTATGTAAGGAATAGGGTGCCATTTGGTCCGCATCTCTTTCTGCGTACTCTCTCACTGCTTCTGCACGTTCTAGAAGGAGCTGTGGTGAACGGTCAGGGTGGGCAACAGGCAGAGGCTGGTATTCCAGCCATTCCAATGAGCCTGTCCTCCGATTTATAGTGACACCAGCCTCCACTGGTGACAGGGTGGTACATTAGCAAGGTTCATTTTTATTGATAATTTTATTTTGGGTATCCTGTTACTCTGCTTGAAAATGAGTATTTCTTCAACTTCAGGCTTAGTTGGAGTAGCCTGGATTCCAGTCTGTTTAGCTAACATTCCAAACATTGTTTAGCAATTACTCATAGTACAAGGAATGGAATTTTAGCTAAACAGACTGGTACCCAGGCTATAATTGAAGAGCTACACGTTCATAATGGTTTGATGTGTACAGTATGTGTGTGTGTGTGTGCGTGTGTGTGTGGTGTGCGTGTGCGTGTGGTGGTGTGCGTGTGTGCGTGTGGGTGCGTGTGGGTGCGTGTGTGCGTGTGTATGCGTGTGTGTGTGTGTGTGGTGTGTGGGTGCGTGTGCGTGGGTGTGTGTGTGCGTGTGTGTGGGTGCGTGTGTGCGTGTGGGTGGTGTGTGTGTGTGTGTGTACTGTAAATGCAGGTCATGATTATGTTCTTATGACTAGATTACAAACAGCACGTTTTATTTTCAATTTGATAACATGCAAGATTAAGCGATCTAGTTGTACTGTAAATAGTTTGTTTTACAGGAAGACTGCTGAAAATGGCATCAACGTGTTGATACTGTAACTGAACTTTATTGTGGGGAGGGGTTGGCCTGTCATTATTCTTCAATAGGAGTTCAACTGACGAAGCAGGGGTATTAAAGCTACGTTCCATGTATACCTATACAGCATAGGAGAATGCTATTCATCAATAGCAGGGGTATTGTAGCCTGGTCTGTCATTGGAGCCTGCCATGCCAATGCATGACTGCTACCTGTTGGTAAGACAGCACAGACCAATCTGGGACCAGGCTATGGGGCTATTGAGCAACAGAAGACAGTGTACTGTAGGGTTGCCGTCCCAAATCCCACCCTACCCACTGAGAACAGACGTCAGTTCAACGTCTAGTTTTGATTCACATTTGGTTGAGTTGTCAACTAACGTGAATTCAACGTGAAATCAACAGAAAAATTTCACCATGTCATTGGATTTATGTTTATTTTTTTTTAATGTTGGGGGGGGGGGGGGGGGGGGGTTGAATTGGCGTGGAAACAACGTTGATTCAACCAGTTTTTTTTTTGTCCAGTGAGTATTCCCTATATAGTGCACTACTTTTGACCAGGGTCCATAGAGCTCTGGTCAAATGTAGTGCTCTATGTAGGGAATAGGATGCTATTTGGGATGCTACCTATGTCTGGAAGCAGTCATTTTCTCTCTATACAGCCTTGGATGTAACAAAGGTTTCAATATCATATTAATGGCAATGCTGAAGGCCAAAGATATCACTGCAACATGTATTCTTCACAAAACTAGTGCACTATAAAGGAAATAGGGTTATATTTGGGATGCTACCCCAGGTATAATGAGAATGTATTAAACTTGTAAATTGCTGTATTGTGAGAAGCTACGAATACACTGTGATTAATGACATGTTAATGACAATGCTTATTATTGCTTTCCAAATATGTAAAAAATAAAAAAATAAAACACACCAAAAAATTAAAATAAAGAGGCATTTATGACATGCAATGATGAAAATAAAAGAAAGTACATAAAAGTATTGTATATTCAAGCAGTTGAGGACAACGTCTTGAGTCCCAAATGGCTCTGATCAAAAGTAGTGCAGTTTGGGACGCACGCCAACTTGTTTTGTTCACACTTTACTCTCTAATGTTCATTACACAGGAAGCAGATCACTTGGATACCTGACTCAACGATGTCCATTTAAAATGAAGTACGTGAATCTCACACGTTTGTTTAATTTTTGTTACACTATTGGAACATGACAATGGAACAGATACACCACATATACACAGTACATATTAACCAATTATGGCATTGACAGTAGAACACATTATACGTATATATACATGATTTACACAACTAAATATATAGTACAGTCGGTTTTAAAGTGCGCCCAGAGATATTCACAAAAGTTAAACACATTTTTCTTGGTAACTGCAATGACGATTGATTTTTCAAGTTGAGAGAATAGTGTTTGGTGTGACAGACACGGATGTCACTGTGCTTGTTGTTTTGACAGACAAAGACATTTCACGCTTGGCAGTGAGGTGACAAATCCAACTCCGTTACACGCACTGCAAATCTGAGTCTGATGGCACCACTGCGGCGGATGTCGCCGTGCTAGCTTGGCCGTGTCACTTCCTCCCTGTCCGGCGCACATCGAGAGTAGAACCTGGGACAAACACACTTGACCCACGCTACCTTGACAACGTCTTAGCCAACTACGCTGCCAAAAAGCTAGTGATTCGGATAGCGCGGGTGGAGACGTTTCAAGCAGGGGATAGGAGGTTATGAATCCGGCTCCGTTACAATGCAACTGACAGCTCCTGGAGTGAAATTTCATCCTGGAACACATAAGAAGAAAATAACATAATTTACAGTTAAATCAATAATCACTATTCCCTATTACTGTACTTATGTAGCAGAGTTGAAAAATAACTGCTGTTTTATTTGTGAAGTTAGACAAAATTCATGTCATAGACTTGCACTAGCTCTGGTCACTAGCTCTGGTCCAGGCCGTTGATCCACCTGCACTATTATGGTCGTGAGAGATCACCCTGGACCAGAGCTAGTGACCAGAGCTAGTGATCACAATCGTGAGAGATCACCCTGGACCAGAGCTAGTGATGATGATCGTGAGAGATCATCCTGGACCTAAAGTGGTCCTCTGTAGCTCAGCTGGTAGAGCACGGCGCTTGTAACGCCGAGGTAGTGGGTTCGATCCCCGGGACCACCCATACACAAAAATGGATGCACGCATGACTGTAAGTCGCTTTGGATAAAAGCGTCTGCTAAATGGCATATTATATTATTATATTAAAGTACTTAATCTCATTAAACTGACAGAGACTTACTGTAGGAAGCACTAAGGTTGTCAAAGGTGTGGTGGTTACTCCTGCCAGGAAGTTGGAGTTCAGGTATCCCTCTCCAAAATAAACATCCTCATCTTCGTCGTTGTCAACCCCAACACTGAAGGCCTCTCGTATCTTCCCCGGGATCAGACAGTCCAACAGAACCACCAGGACTCCAATGATTAAACACAGCACACCTGGAAAACAAGATGTATGCCTTTTAAGCAACATTTTTCTTTAATGTTGTCATTGGTGTGGATAACTGGGATCTTTCTCAATTCATCTGTCCTTGATCCTCACCTCCTTCTCTAAACACACATTAGGAGAAGGTCCAAGGTTCCCTCCCCTCGAACCTTCACTTCCAATGCATTTTGAGATGGAGGCTAGGACAGAGGACACGGGGAATTGAGGAAAGAGCCTTGGGCTCTGGTAAACCCTTTCCTTACCTGTGGCCAGTGCCAACCAGAAAGAACCGCTGTACTCTGTCTGGAAGCCTCCGGAGGTGCCTATGGTGAACAGGCAGGTCGGCAGGTTCATGACGGTGGAGAAGGAGGCCACGGAGAAAAAGATGAAGGCGGCGGTGGCCACCATCATGTATCCGGCGTACAGGATGACAGGCATGGAGAACAGCACGTTGGCTACCAGCCAGCAGCAGAACGCTGTCCTGAGGAGGCGAGTTAAATTTGGTATGTATGTATGTACAGCCGGCAGAATTTTGTACCGTTCTCAATGGCAGTTTGTTAACCCGTTACCTAACCTTAACCCTTACCCCAGCGTTTTCCAAACTAGGGGACGTGACCATTTTTGATCCCAATGCCTAACCTTAACCTCGGGATAACCTGGCGGTCAAATATCCACTTCTGACTCACAGTTTGAGGAGCAATATCTCACTGAAAACATCTACAGGTATATGTTTAGATTGAGACTGGTTCTCTCACAGAACTAGTCTTTTTACTGCCACAGTGAATAATATGGTATATTACGTGGCTTATCTTACCAAAGGGTGGCCGAGGCGTAGCGCCCAGAGTATCTATACTGGTAGATGAGGCCACAGGGGTTGTTAAGGGTAAACTTCTCAGCGATATAGAGGATGGGGTTGGGTAGACCTCGCTCTAGGGCATCCTCGTACTCTTCATCGATGGTGTCTTTCCACTCAAACATCTCGTTGTAGTTGATGGTCTCGTTGAGTTGATTCACAGGATTCCCTGGAGGGATAGAGTGGACCATAGAGGACAACGGTGGTTATAATCCATGCACTTGCAAGAAGAATCATTGTAATGTTTGTTTAATGTGTCAATGAATCCCTTAAGGGATGGGTCGCCAAATGGCGATTTGACATGAATAAAAACTTTATTAATTCATGTAAGCTATAAAAACAAAATACAAGTTACATGTCACATGACTTGTGATCATGACCCCAGTGTGGCGGTAATACGGTCACCATAATGATGTGTATTCTTTAATGAATTAGGAGATAGAACTGGGTTAATATAATGAAGGATTATTAACGTCTAAAGGCTTGATTCTGTCGACATACTCAAGGCACGGTTCGTTCAGATGAAATGGTCACAAGACCGGGCCCGTTGCGCACTGCACATCACCCACCTTGAATCTGAGTGTAGGGGTCTGCATTTTGAAGCTATTTAAAAAGGGCAATTCCACCACTTTTCAACCTCATTTATATGGTGTGAAAACAGCGCGTTTCTACGATCTGTGGTTACAAAGATGAGAAGTCCTTAAAATGCTTTTCTGTGACATCATAGGGTAGGATTAAAAGTGTTCAAAAACCAGTGATTTTCTAAAACCTGTTTTCAGCCCAAGGGAGGGGATTTTCTTGTTTCCGACATCACTATGAATCTGTGTTTGAAAATCATTGTTTGTTTTTTTTAAATTAACTTTTTTACTTTCTATTTTATTCTGTAAAACTTAGAAATGCACCGTTTTCACATTATGTTGACACTGGTATTGTACTGGAGATGATAAAAAAAATGAGGTTGGTGGAGGATCCATAAACTTTAATTGTTTTAAAAACTGGACGTTTTTGTCATTTTTATGAAGCATGTCTTTACCTTGTTTCAAAGTAGCCTAGCCAAAATACGACCGTAGAAATGTTGAGGGAATTATTTTATTATGCCATTGGAAAGCAGCATTTGGAAAAGCAGCATTTTTTTTCTCATGTTTCTCTCTATTGGTTTTCAAATCAACAGTATGGTCCAGCAGCCAAAGGCATAATCCTTGTTATAATAGTGACCCATGCTAGTTGATGCATCTTTGTGATCTCCCCTTGCTTTATTTCTAACAGATATTTTCTTCTCTGTCACATGAAACCACACGCGCATTGCGGGGGCACTTTTGAGAACAATGTTTTCCTGCTAATTGCATTTTGGAACATTCGTGCATAGCCTACAGCCACGTGCGCATTGTTAAGCTTTATAATATGAAGAAATATAACGTTATCAAACATTTTAAGCTAAACTGTCTGATCTGATGCATCCGCCTCATTGCTTTTGAAAATGTTTTGGTTGTATGACTTTGGGATCTGTTGTTCCTAAGTCTGTTTTGAACTGTATACATTATATTTTTTAACGTTCCAGGGACGACGGGACACCCTTAATTTCGTGGGGAATTATTTTATAAAGACATAAGTATTTGGTTGTAATTGTAACGTTGCAATATTTTATAGGGCTACCGAGGGTGGCCAACCATCCTCCAGGAGAGCCTTAAAGGGGCGGTGTTGTAATTTGAGACAGGCTTGAATATGCAAACAAGCCAATAGGCAGAGTGTAGCCTACATTTGTCTGATTCTCTATACAAAATAAAATACCTTAGTCTTTTTTACCAAAGTGGATCTGTCAATTAAAGTTAATGTCAAGCCCTTAAATGTGTAGTTGTAGGTGGGAGAGTGCTATCTATCACATACAACTACAAGGCTTTTCTGTTGCTGTTATTTGGGGAAATCGACTGCATTGTGATGAGTAGGGTTAGAGGCCATTAATGATTTATACAGACTTACGTTTATGTTGCACTAATTGGATTGGCAGGTGTGTGATCTTTTCATTTCATCCTATAACAATGCAAGGCTTGCAATACAGTTGTTATTTTTGGAAGCAAATGACTTGCATAAAACAAGCTTAACGATGAAAGTCTTTAGATTCTAGGACCTTGCATTATTTATTCAACCGCTATGTTCATATTTTTACAAGCCTCCTGTAGCTCAGTTGGTAGAGCATGGTGCTTGCAACGCCAGGGTTGTGGGTTCGATTCCCACAGGGGGCCAGTATGAAAAATGTATGCACTCACTAACTGTAAGTCGCTCTGGATAAGAGCGTCTGCTAAATGACAAAAATGTAAATGTTAATCACTAACATTGAGTTAGAATTGTTTGTCACTGGGCTAGGAATTTAATTGGGGCATTTCACTGTGTGTGTGGGGGAGTAGAGAGGAAATCTGCCCTAGGGTCAAATTGCTTGCTCTTACTTAAATCCATGGTTGTCTTCTCTGATGAGAGACTGAAACTAGCTTGTGGCCTTTTGTCTCTCTCTTCCAACACAGTGAAGGGAGTGGCACCAGGGTTGAATGGAGTTTGGGCTAGACCTTTGTCTCCTTGGTATCTTCTTGATTGATTACAGCATGATGGGGTGAGGTTTGTGTATGTTTCAAGAATTTAGGGCCTTGTCATGTTTAAACTAAAACATGAGTGTGTGTGCAAGACAGGGGGAGCGAGTGATTGGTTGGAGTATTAGTTCAGCCGTCCTCAGGGACAAAGGAAGTGGGCGTGGAGTGATAAAGAGCGGGAAACTAAGGAGGGAGGGATTTGAACCTAGGGTGGAAGAAAGGAAACTATATAGGTAGGAGGGAGAGAGAGAGACAAGGCGAAATCTGCAGATTGGCCTGACTTTGTTGACATTATAATAAAGTCATTCTTGATCCCACAAACACTCTGGAAGACTGATTTGTAATAAAGTATAGTGGTTATTTTCCACAACAATAACAGCCCTACGTGTCACATGACTTGTGATCATGACCCCAGTAATACGGTCACCATAACAGCCCTACGTGTCACATGACGTATCTAAACTTTAGCCGTGTGTCCGTCATTCTTCAAGTTCTCGATATTCATTGAGGAAAAATGCATGAGAGTAAAAAAATCAGTGGAACGCTATCAAATATAAGATTAGTTACAGAGGTCTAGTAGCTGTATTCCAATATTATCATTGCTGCCCATTAGGTAATCTTCGGAAACCCAGAACTAAAATATTGCGGAATTGCAACAGATGGTTGCATCGTCGCGTCACAGTCTATTGACAGATGCTACGATACCAGTTCTGTATCTGTAGCTCAGCTGGTAGAGCATGGTGCTTGTAACGCTAAGGTAGTGGGTTCGATCCCCGGGACCACCCATACACAAAAGAAAAAAAAAAATGTATGCACGCATGACTGTAAGTCGCTTTTGGATTAAAGCGTCTGCTAAATGGCATATTATATTATGTTAGGTGCATCTGTCCACGAGAGATTTTACCCCTGGTAACATATCCACGAGAGATCATACCCCTGGTAACATATCCAGAACATTCAACACGGCAGAAGTGACATATGTAATACATACAGGTGTATACTGTAAACAAACAATATTATGTTCTAATTCTATGTCTACGGGCTTTACCTTTTAACGTAATGTTGATACCATACAGTCCTATGTGCAGTCCCACGTCAGCGTTCACCTCCTCACTGCTGAAGGACTTGTAGGTGGTGCTGGTGGTGGTTCGGGCCTCAGCCCAGTCGCTGGTGAAATTCAGTGCTGAGATGAGACGATATAAGATGTGAGTCTTCACTTACAGACATAACAGAAAACCAAACAATACAATGCTTTTTTTTGTTGGTGTCACGATCGTCGAAAGGATTGGACCAATGCGCAGCGTGGAATGCGAACATACTTTATTAGTACTTTTCAATTAACAACACGAACAACAAAACGATACGTGAAGTCCTTGGTAACAAAACACAAACCATACACAGAACAAGATCCCACAATACACTGTGCCAAACAGGCTGCCTAAGTATGGTTCCCAATCAGAGACAACAAGCAACAGCTGATTCTCGTTGCCTCTGATTGAGAACCACCCCGGCCAACATAGATACACATGAACTAGAAACTGAAACAAAAGAACACAAAACATAGACTCTACACACCCTGGCTCAACATAAAAGAGTCCCTAGAGCCAGGGCGTGAAAGTTGGAGCTACTTCATAGCCGTTATTGACGTGTGAAATAATCAACATCCTCTCGATCTATCAGAATTGGTCTGTTTATTAGGGCAATAAGATTAAGAAGATTTGAATCCAATGACTGCCAGTCATTTGATATGTTGGAATAGATGTCACGTGATGTGAAATGTATAGCAATTTCCAGTTATAGGTACTTACCCACTATCACAATGCCTATGAATAAACTGATGATGATTCTGAACATCCAGAACAGTCTCTAGAAGAGAGAGAAAGGGGGGGGAGCGACTTACTGACAGATCTCACATCACAAAACATGTACCTTGACTTACTGACAGATCTCACATCCATCAATTCTTAACTCAGTTTATTAATCCAGTTAATCTCAATCACATTCCGAGGGGAAATAATCAGTTTAAATATGTATTTTTACATTGAGAAATTGTATTATCTACAATTTCGTATGGCGTCATATTAGTGGACATCATATTAGTGCCATATTAGTGCCAACAGAAAGGGAATCTGAAGATTAATGAAATCTGAAGATTCCATTTCTGTTAGCATTAATATGGCACTAATATGATGTCCACTAATATGACGCCATACGAAATTGTAGATAATACTCCACAGTTAGGGTTTGCACCAGTTCAGTATACTCACCGACTTGCCTCTGATACCAGGCAGAATGAGAAGGAAGCTGACCGCGAGGACCAGGAAGACCAGGATAATGGTGAGGAGGTGGGTGCTGAAGATAAAGGAGGTTCTTTGTAGGGGGTAGAATGGGTAGATGCCATCGTATAAAGTCATCTTTCCTCTCAGGATCTCCGGGGCTGAGAGCAGACAGCGTGACAGAAGAGACAGTGTGGAGAGCAGGGTGTCTCAGTTACTGTCTAAAGATACAGAGATTAGCACATCAGTTCCTTACTCTATAGCAGTGGGATACTGTACACTGGGAAATGAGAATGTTACATCATTTCCTCAAATGTGAAACTTAAGTAAAAATATGAATCGTTTCAATTATCAAATGTATTTCATGAATTTTCTGAATCAAGACAAAATCATTTTTAATTCAACATACATTTTTATAATTATCGTAAAATAGAGAGTGCTTTAAGAAACCACTGTTGAGATTGAAAGCACATGCAAACTAAACCGTGTCAGGTACAGTACGGTCAATGGGTACAGTAAGTGGATACTCTTGCACTCAAGTTTACCCTCCCTGGCAAACTACATGGACAAAGACCAATCCATCTCAAAACTCGACTCGTTTTGGAAGCAACAAACAAATAGCAAAGCAAACGCAAAAACAAACCAAAACCTATTCCAACTTCCTCCGAACCATCCTCAGTGGTGGAAAAAGTACCCAATTGTCATACTTGAGTAAAAGTAAAGATACCTTTAAAAAAAATGACTCAAGTAAAAGTGAAAGTCACCCAGTAAAATACTATTTGAGTAAAAGTCTAAAAGTACTTGGTTTTAAATATACTTAAGTATCAAAAGTAAATGTAGTTAATAAAAATATACTTAAGTATCAAAAGTACAAGTAAAAGTATAAATAATTTCAAATTCCTTAAATTAAGCAAATCATTTTCTTTTTTTTCTTTTTTTTTTACGGATGGCCCGGAGCACACTCCAACACTCAGACATAATTTACAAACAAAGCATGTGTGTGAATTTGACTATTTTCCTGTCCTGCTAAGCATTCAAAATGTAAGGAGTACTTTTGGGTGTCAGGGAAAATGTATGGAGTAAAAAGTACATAATCTTCTTAAGGAATGTAGTGAAGTAAAAGTAAAAGTTGTCAAAAAATATAAATAGTAAAGTAAAGTACAGATACCCCCCCAAAAAAACTACTTAAGTAGTACTTTCAAGTATTTTTACTTAAGTACTTTACACCACTGACCATCCTTATATGCCAGTATGCTATATTCATGTAATGCATAATACATACGCTTAAAAATAATGCTCACCTTTAGTGTAGAAAAGTTACTGGAGCAGATCAAGACAGTAGCAGAAGGATGAGAAGAACGGATGTGATGGTCAAAGACGACAGACTTTTCTTTTATAGCCCTACCGCGTACGTCTTTAGTGTATCTTTAAGGTTGATTGGTATTCTTTAGAGTAGAAGGTGTGTGAACCGGTGATGACCATTCCTTCAAGGAAACGCATGTGTCAGTCAGTCTATTGTAAGAATTTGGGTCATCGAGACTACGCTATCCCTTCTCTGTGGCAATAGTCTATATTGTATGGCTATCGCCTACATTTTTAACTCCGATTCTTCAGTGCGCATGACATTTCATCCTCAAAATTGGGGTAAGTAAGTAACAAACGTATCTATCTATTCCAAACAGGCTTGTTTAGAGCAAATCAACCAGATTGTCCAACACCTAAAACTGTTCTTGTTTAAAGTGTTGTTTCTTGCTTCCAACCAACACTTCTCTACATTACAGTGACAATTTAATTTATGAAGCACTGATACCCACATTGATTTTGCACATTGTAAATCAAAACTAGAACGTAAGTGAGGAATTCATATAAATATTTAGCCCGATGTTTTCCTACCTCGCCAGGACTTTCCACACAAGTGCTCCTCGACTAGACTCTTGACTGGCTCGGAGTGCATGCGGTTGCATCTCTCGCGTCAATGGATTTGCGTAAACCGATCTGGAGTATCTTGACTGTGCTGGCAGCGCTTGCCCTTATCGTTGAACGTAAGTAACCTTGTAACTAGTTACTTTAAATGATTCCTTTAAAACCCACGGAAAATGTCTCATCTTTGATAAATAAATATGATAAAAGTCCTGAATTTGAGTATCACACTGAAAGTGCCGTCCAATCGTTAAACTCACCTTGTGTAGATTCTCAGTCTAAAGTCACCTGGGAAGTCCAACGATATGACGGCTGGTATAACAACTTAGCCCATCACCGTCGAGGTGCTGTTGGTAAGTTTCTAACAAAACCTCTTAACTGACAATATAAAAACATTTGAAATATGAATATTTAAAGATATAGGATGCGTTTATAGAAAGCCATACATTGCATTGGTGATGGATGAGAACGGAACTCATGGAACTGTGTGCGGGTGCAGGTTCCCCCCTGGTTCGCCTGCTGCCAGCGCGCTATTCTGACGGCGTCCTCCAGCCTCTGCAGGAACCTCAGCTCCCCAACCCGCGCAGACTCAGCGATGTGACGGCCAGGGGCCCCTCGGGCCTGCCCTCAGCACACAACCAGACCGTACTCTCTGTGTTCTTTGGTAAATTTACACTGGAAAATCGTCTCAATGTATGATGTTCACTATTGCATAATGACATTCTGGAGTTTTTTTTTAAAAATTGTATTATTATTTTCTATTATGAAATTAACCTCAATAATTGAGGTGAGGTTGCCATAGTCACCCGGTTATAATAGTACATAGTAAGATGGTTCTTACACATTGTAACACTTGTCATAAATATGTATGACCCCCTTTGAGATTATATAATAATGTCTTAGAGCCATTTTTAAATGATCCAGACTAAATAACAGCCAGTTGAGCCTCATTATAAAAGACAAGTTATAAACAAGCATTATAGCTGCAGAAGGCTTTAAGTCAAATGTTATATATATATATATATATATATATATATATATATATATATATACAGTATATTTCGCCATTGCCTGTTCAGGGTACCATGTAGTGTTTGAGATCCATAAAGTTGTTATAAGCATGTATGAACCTTTATGTGTCTTATAAAGCTTATGATCCTTCTCTTTCTCCTCTGTCTGTGCAGGTTACCATGTAGTGTTTGAGATGCTGGACTCCCGTCCTCCCGGCTGTCCCCCTGAGTTCATGCACATCCCCGTCCCAGAGGGAGACCCAGTCTTCGACCCTCACCACACCGGCCGAGTCCTGCTGCCCTTCCAGAGGGGGCTCTGGGACAAACACTCCAGCCAGAGCCCCAATAACCCCCGCACACAGGTAATAAACCCTCACACACAGGTAATAACCCTCGCACACAGGTAATAACCCTCGCACACAGGTAATAACCCTCGCACACAGGTAATAACCCTCGCACACAGGTAATAACCCTCGCACACAGGTAATAACCCTCACACACAGGTAATAACCCTCACACACAGGTAATAACCCCCCACACACAGGTAATAACCCCCCGCACACAGGTAATAGCCCCCCACACACAGGTAATAGCCCCCGCACCCAGGTAATAATCCTTGCACAGACAGGTACTATAACAGACAGGTACTATAACAGACAGACAGGTACTATAACAGACAGACAGGTACTATAACAGACAGGTACTATAACAGACAGACAGGTACTATAACAGACAGACAGGTACTATAACAGACAGACAGGTACTTTAACAGACAGACAGGTACTATAACAGATGCTTAATGAGTTCATACATTCGTAGTATGTGTATGTGATTCCTGAGGGAGTTGAACCCGTGATCTTGGCGTTGTTAGTGCCACGTCTCTATGAACTGAGCCAGGCAGCAGCACGAGGACCACGGGGTAAGACCAGTTGTTCATACTTTAGTGATTATATTTTCAGCCAGTTGGACATCTATTGGACATAATAATCAAGTAATAAATCCAAAAATTATATCAATTTGATCATAACATCTGTAGGGTGAACCTGGTGACTGTGTGGCTATGTCATGTTATGTCATGTCATGTTCCATAAAGGTGATCCTGGTGACAGTGTGGCTATGTCATGTCATGTCATGTCATGTCATGTTATTTCATGTTATGTCATGTTATGTAGGTGAACCTGGTGACTGTGTGGCTATGTCATGTTATGTCATGTTATGTCATGTTGTGTCATGTTATGTAGGTGAACCTGGTGTCAGCGTGGCTATGTCATGTTATGTCATGTTATGTCATGTTGTGTCCTGTTATGTAGGTGAACCTGGTGACTGTGTGGCTATGTCATGTTATGTCATGTTATGTCATGTTGTGTCATGTTATGTAGGTGAACCTGGTGACAGCGTGGCTATGTTATGTCATGTCATTTTATGTAGGTGAACCTGGTGACAGCATGGCTGGATGGCAGCTCTATCTACGGCCCCTCTAGTTCATGGTCTGACGCCCTGAGGAGTTTCTCCGGTGGTCTCCTAGCCTCGGGCGAGCAGTGGGACATGCCCAAGAGGAGTGGGAGCAGTAACATGATGTGGAGCGCTGCTGACCCCTCCACTGGTCAGCATGGACCTGAGGGACTATATGGTGAGTAGAGGCTCGTTGTCGTTGACGTTGTCTTCTTCTTCTTCTTGATTACCCAAACTCAGTGATGTAATTGGATTACTTTCAGTTACTTTTGGATGACTTTCCCCTTAACGGGCATTAGAAGAAGACTAAAAGGATCCATCAAACGCATTTGGTGTGTCATCATAGTGGTCTCTGATTGGTGGTCATCATTTGGTGTGTCATCATAGTGGTCTCTGATTGGTGGTCATCATTTGTTGTGTCATCATAGTGGTCTCTGATTGGTGGTCATCATTTGTTGTGTCATCATAGTGGTCTCTGATTGGTGGTCATCATTTGGTGTGTCATCATAGTGGTCTCTGATTGGTGGTCATCATTTGTTGTGTCATCATAGTGGTCTCTGATTGGTGGTCATCATTTGTTGTGTCATCATAGTGGTCTCTGATTGGTGGTCATCATTTGTTGTGTCATCATAGTGGTCTCTGATTGGTGGTCATCATTTGGTGTGTCATCATAATGGTCTCTGACTGGTTTTTCAGACTCCTCAGGTGGAACAAACTTAGACATGCGCCTGTTTTCAATGCTGATTTGAATGTCATTGAGAAAACAGAAAGGTGTCATAATGTAATTTTTTTTCCACAAACAATCCTTTTTCTGAATTTAAAAGTGAGAAGGAATCATGTGGTTTTTCATGATATTTTGGCTGGTAATGTAACTGATTAAAAGTTGTATTTATTTATGTAATCAGATAACATGTAGCTGATTACGTGTAAGCAGTTACTCCCCAATCCTGGTGGTCCGTGACAATGGACTTGCACCATAAAGCTACATAATGGCAGCTGAACTGGCATCTGGCTAGACGCCTCACTAATGGTAAAGAATACAAATAAGGAAACACCAACAATATTTGCACTGTTACTGGATTGAAAGATATAGACATCATAAAGCTGTGTAGAACCTCCTGCTCCTCATCAACAGGACGTGAGGCCACGTCATTCTTGCATTGTCACAGCTAAAGAATACAAAATATTTTATCAGCACCATTAAGTAATATAAAGATATCAACCCCTTTAAGGAAGTAAAAGGTATCGGCACCTGTAAGGAAATACTGAAAATACTTTAATCTCGGGACAGTTATCACTGCTTATAAACATTTATATACCAGGGTTGGGTTCAGTTTCTGGTTTTTCAGTTTACTTCCTGATTTCAAATGGAAATGACCCCAATCCTGGCATACAGTCGATACAGCAGTTCAACAGCCGAACATGCAGTCAGAGAAACCTTCAGTTTCTTCGTTTCCTCCCTCCAGAGTTGGGGAACGCCTGGGGCAACGAGAATGTGTTCACCATGGCCGAGGGCATCGTGTGGTTTCGCTACCACAATTACATCGCCTCCCAGCTGTGTGAGAAACACCCGTCGTGGTCGGACGAAGACCTGTTTCAAAATGCCAGGAAGACCGTGGTCGCCACGTTCCAGGTACCAGGAAAAGTCTGTCATAATCCAACCCAACACATAGCTGGTCATTTAGTGGTTATTTACAGTATGTCACATGACCAGGAAAGAGAGTTGTTACTTACATCAATGCCAGGTGGTCGTGGGTTTCAGGATAAATGGTATTAGTTGAGGGTGTCTGTGTGACCGCGTCACCTCTTATCCTTCTGGTTTAGCGCCAATGTAATTATCCTGTGTATTGACAAGCAATTGACAAGTAACTCCACAATATTGTAATTTTTTTTACAGAATATTGCCTTCTACGAATGGCTGCCTGTATTCCTGGGAGAGAAGATAATGCCTCCATACAAGGGTAAGAGAGAGGGAGAGAGAGAGAGGGAGAGAGAGAGAGAGAGAGAGAGAGAGAGAGAGAGACACATTTACATTTACATTTACATTTTAGTCATTTAGCAGACGCTCTTATCCAGAGCGACTTACAGGAGCAATTAGGTTAAGTGCCTTGCTCAAGGGCACATTAACGTCATTTAGCAGACGCTCTTAGCCAGAGCGACTCACAAATTGGTGCGTTCACCCTATAGCCAGTGGGATAACCACTTTAACACAATTGGGGGGGGTTGGGGGGGGGAAGAGAGACAGAGAGCGAGAGAGAGAGAGAGAGAGAGAGACGAGTAGAGTAGAGAGAGAGAGAGATAGAGAGAAGAGGAGAGAGAGAGAGAGAGAGAGAACAGAGAGAGAGATGAGAGATGAGAAGAAGAGAAGGGATAGAGAGAGGAGAGGGAGAGAGATAGAGAGAGAGAAGAGAGGAGATGAGAGAGGCGAGTAAGAAGAGAGAGAGGACCGAGAGTGTGTTGTGTGGTGTGGGGCAAGCTGACCCCACACGTGGTGAGTAGACCGTGGTTATGTGCATACCTGCGTTCAAAAGAAACCTAGAGACAGGGCGCCACACACACACACCCCACCACACACACCACACCCACACACCCCCAGACACGTACCCACACAACACCACAGTCCTACACAACACCACACACAACTACACACCACACACACACACACACACTCACACCACACACACACACACACAACAAGACCACACCACAACACTCACTCACCACCACACACACACAGCCACAACCCAAACAACAACACACCCACACCCACACAACACCACAAACCCCAAACACACACACACACACAACCCACACACACACACACACACAACACCCACAACACCACACAACACACCCAACACCACCACACACACCAACACACACACACACACACAACACACACACACACACACACACCACACACACCACACACACACCACACGGTCACATTATGTTATTTTTGTTTCTCTTAATAAATCATATGGAGGTTAGAGGGATTCCTTTCCCCATTTCTCTTAATAAATCATATGGTTAGAGGGATTCCTTTCCCCGTTTCTCTTAATAAATCATATGGTTAGAGGGATTCCTTTCCCCGTTTCTCTTAATAAATCATATAGAGGTTAGAGGGATTCCTTTCCATGTAATCTTTCACAATGTTAGAAAAGGGCTTCCTTTTACTGTGGCTAATATACTGCTGTACCTATGACAATATGGTTTTTGGAGACTCCATCTCTTCTACTTTAGAGCAGTTTTACAGTATTATACCCTGTTTCGTTGTTCTCTGTCTGTCTGTCTGTATGCGTTGTCTGTCTGTCTGTCTGTCTGTCTGTCTGTATGTATGTCTGTCTGTCTGTCGTATGTCTGTCTGTCTGTCTCTGTCTGTCTGTCTGTCTGTCTGTCTGTCTGTCTGTCTCCTGCAGGCTACCAGAGGTTTGTGGATCCAGGGATCTCACCTGAGTTCCAGGCTGCTGCTATACGCTTTGCCTCCACGATGGCCCCCCCTGGTGTCTATATGAGGTACTGATGACTAGTCCCCACCGTCTGGAGCAGGCCTCTCCTGCCCTGTTCCTGGAGATACCCTCCTGTAGGTTTTCACTCCTACCCTAATCTAGCACGCCTGATTCTAATAATTAGAATTAGGTTAGTTAGAACTCGGGTAGGAGTGAAAACCTACAGGAGGGTATCTCTCCAGGAACAGGGCAGGAGTGAAACCTACAGGAGGGTATCTCTCCAGGAACAGGGCAGGAGTGAAACCTACAGGAGGGTATCTCTCCAGGAACAGGGTAGGAGTGAAAACCTACAGGAGGGTATCTCTCCAGGAACAGGGTAGGAGTGAAAACCTACAGGAGGGTATCTCTCCAGGAACAGGGTAGGAGTGAAAACCTACAGGAGGGTATCTCTCCAGGAACAGGGTAGGAGTGAAAACCTACAGGAGGGTATCTCTCCAGGAACAGGGCAGGAGAGCCCTGGTCTGGAGAATAAACTCCTCCAAAAGAATCAGAATCCACAAGAATCCACTAGAATCCACTAGAATCCACTAGAATCCACTAGAATCCACTAGAATACAATAGAATACACTAGAATACACTAGAATCCACTAGAATCCACTAGAATCCACTAGAATACAATAGAATACACTAGAATACACTAGAATCCAATAGAATCCAATAGAATCCAATAGAATCCACTTGAATCCACTTTAACTTAACATATCAGGGAATCAGAATGGTGAACTATCAGGCGATCATGCTGGATTCAACAGGCTATTAAAACAGGTGTATTGTATGTTTCCACCAGGCTATCCCTTCACCTCAATACTGTACGCTATTGCTAGCAGAGCACATATCACTGTAATGCTCTGTTGGGGTTGATTTGTTGTTTTGTACTAAGAAACATGGTCCCAGATGCAGTGTTTGTGTCAGCATTCATATTTCAACAGCTGCATGTAATTTGTGTCATCATGAATTTTTCATACATTCCTCTTGGCTACAGAAACAGAACTTGTCACTTTCAGAAGGTTGTCAACATCGATGGGAGCACGTCGTCAGCGATGCGCATGTGCAACAGCTTCTGGAACCGTCAGGTAAACCTGCTAGAAAATATATATCGATCCAAACGTTTGGGAAGAAACATCTCTGTCAAATTGTTTCTACAATTAGTTTTTTTTTTTTGTTGTCTGTGCAAGTGTCTGCCCTGTAGCCTCCGTGTAGCCTGGTCTCAGATCCGTATAGCCAAACAGCTACAGGAGGTGGCAAGACAGCACCTTTGTTGAGACATTTCTATTAGAGAAACTGAATGACCTGTTTCAAACAAACCTCTCTGATTGTCTGTTGTAGAACTCCCAACCTGAAGTCAGGCCAAGATATAGACCATCTGATTATGGGCATGGCCTCCCAGATCGCAGAGAGAGAGGACAACATTGTTGTGGAGGACTTAAGAGGTCATCATCACCATCATCATCATCATCATCATCATGATATATTTTCAGATGTATTTGTGTCTACAGGAACATAGGGCAGAGACCTCTCACTTTAGCGTTAGACGGTCAGTGGGGGGAATGGCCTTGTTTTACATATGCCTTCCAACATGAAGAGGACAAGAAGTTGCTTATGACAAGTCTTATAATGCATTACGACCGCATCATGATGCATTACAACCACATCATGGTGCATTACAACCACATCATGATACATCACAACCACATCTTAATGGATTATACCTGGTGACTTTAAGAAAAGGTGTGTTTTCAATACAACAATAATACATGATTCATATTTACCCCCCCCCCCCCCCCCCCCCCCCGTGGTTCTTCTCCCCCTACCAGACTACATGTACGGTCCCCTGCGGTTCTCACGGTCGGACCTGGTGGCTCTGACGGTGCAGAGAGGCCGGGACTTTGGCCTGCCCAGCTACAACCTGGTCAGAGAGGGCCTGGGCCTGGCCCCTGTAGAGAGATGGGGAGACATAAACCCTCGGCTCAACACCACCAACCCACAGGTACGATCAGAACTGCTTACGTACTGCTTATAAAATGCTTTATGTATTTGTTGTGAATGTTGTTGTTAAATCCTTATGTACCACTGACCGTTTAGATTTTACTTGCCAATGATCGTGATAGTGAATGTGGTTGTTTTACCTACGTATAAATCACAAAATGACTAAAACGTCAATGTAACCAGGCAGGGACAGTTGAGAGCCAGAGAGAGGGGACTCAAACCACTGGCCCAAGATCCTATAATGGAGTGAATAACCTACCATACCCTCTCTATTCTGTCTCTACCTGTACCGTATCTATAGTTATTCAGGGACCTAGCAGACCTGTATGACGGGGATATCTCTAAACTGGAGCTGTTTCCTGGCGGTCTCCTGGAGTCTGTGGACGGTCCTGGTCCGGTCTTCTCCTCTATCATATTGGACCAGTTCGACCGCATCAGGAATGGGGACCGCTTCTGGTTCGAGAACACACGGAACGGGTAGGAAGGAACAACGTCAAATATAGACACCTCATACATTAAACTAATTCATCGAATGAAACTGTAACTGTCAGTTGAACCCGATTTATTTCCTGGCTTTCTCACGTTCGTTCATTCTGAAAGGGAGGTCAACTCCTGGCTTTCTCACGTTCGTTCATTCCGAAAGGGAGGTCAGCTCCTGGCTTTCTCACGTTCGTTCATTCCGAAAGGGAGGTCAGCTCCCGCTGAGCCCAGTCCAAGTTCTTCTCTGTCCTGACACCCCAATGGTGGAACCACCTTCCCCCTGATGCTAGGACAGCAAAGTCCCTGCCCATCTTCTGAAAACGTCTGAAACCCCGCCTCTTCAAAGACATATCAATCGTAACCCCCTCCCCCACTTTTATTTATTTTTTATTTGCGCTTGTCTTTTCCTACAAGCACTGACTTTGCTGATAACTTCTTTATTGAGGAAAAATGTACTTACAATGACTGTGATATGTGGTTGTCTCATCTAGCTACAGTATCTTAAGATGAATGCACTGACTGTAAGTCGCTCTGGATAAGAGCGTCTGCTAAATGACTAAAATGTAAAATGTAAATGTAAAATGAATGCCTGGAGGGATACCTTTGACAACGTAAGAACTAATTAAATAAACTATAGCCTAGTGGAGAACTAGACTTTGAACTGAGAAAACACAAGACTAATATCAGTTTTTATCAGCTTTGAACTGAGGCAACACAAGACTACTGTCAGTTATGATCAGCTTTGAACTGAGGAAACACAAGACTACTGTCAGTTATGATCAGCATTGATTCAGTGTTTGGGTGATACTATCATAACATTTCCTGTTGATCTGACCAATCCTGGTTGTTCCTCTAGTATGTTCACAGCCGAAGAGGTGCAGGCCATTCGGAACACGACCTTTCATGATGTCATTACAGCAGTCACCAGTGCAGAGGCTGAGGACATACAGAGGAGAGTCTTCTTCTGGAGGGATGGTAAAGATCATATCCTCCCTAAAGTTATCTTTCTGTGGTTGGCCAATACGTGATATTATTCTCTGCAATTCAAACATTATAAATAGGTAACTTATGATAGTATTCCCAGTAACTCATAAATGTTGACTGTACGTGCTGCAGTTACAGTAACCAGTTTATCTGCCTACGTGTCTCCTCATCTGTTTTTCTCCCTGTCTGTTTCCCTGCCTGTCTTCATGTCTCCCTGTCTCTCTGTCTGTTTCCCTGCCTGTCTCCCTGCCTGTCTTCATGTCTCCCTGTCTCTCTGTCTGTTTCCCTGCCTGTCTCCCTGCCTGTCTTCATGTCTCCCTGTCTCTCTGCCTGCCTGTCTCCCTGCCTGTCTTCATGTCTCCCTGTCTCCCTGTCTGTTTCCCTGCCTGTCTCCCTGCCTGTCTTCATGTCTCCCTGTCTCTCTGCCTGCCTGCCTGTCTCCCTGCCTGTCTTCATGTCTCCCTGTCTCCCTGTCTATTTCCCTGCCTGTCTCCCTGCCTGTCTTCATGTCTCCCTGTCTCTCTGCCTGCCTGGCTGCCTGACTCCCTGTCTGTCTGGCTGCCTGTCTGTCTGCCTGCCTACCTGTTTCCCTGCCTGTCTCCCTACCTGTCTGTCTGTCTGTCTGCCTGCCTGCCTGCCTGCCTGCCTGCCTGCCTGCCTGCCTGCCTGCCTGCCTGCCTGCCTGTCCTGCCTGTCTGTCTGTCTGTCTGTCTGTCTGTCTGTCTGTCTGTCTGTCTGTCTGTCTGTCTGTCTGTCTGTCTGCCTGCCTGCCTGCCTGCCTGCCTGCCTGCCTGCCTGCCTGCCTGCCTGCCTGTCTCCCTGCCTGTCTTTCTGCCTCCCTCCCTGTCTGTCTGCCTGCCTGCCTATCTGGCTACCTGTCTGTCTGCCTGTCTGTTACAGGTGACCCTTGCCCCCAGCCTTCTCAGGTCACGACCTCTGAGCTCCACCCCTGCACCAATGCCACCAAGCTCAACTACTTTGACGACGGAAGCAAAACTGGCTTTGGCATCTCAGTCGTCTGCCTGTTCCTCTTTCCTGTTGGTCAGTATTTGATATTACCCAATCAGACTCCACATGTGTGATGAGGTGTGAATGACGGAGTCAGGCGCAGGAGGTAAAACACCGAAATCCAGAGTTTATTCAGTGTACATGAATATTGAGCAGCAAGCGTCAAAACGAAACTAGCACAAGGGAAAAATCCACCTTGGCTAAATACAGGGAAAGAGTTGCTCAACCGAGCTACTCACTCTCACAATGAACAATCACTCACAGAGGACAAGGGGGCAGAGGGAACACTTATACACAGACTAATGAGGGAATGAGTACCAGGTGTGTGTGATTGACAAGACAAGACAAGACAAGACATATGGAGTGATGATAAATGGAGCGGCAGTGGCTAGTAAGCCGGTGACGACGAACGCCGAAACCTGCCCGAGCAAGGAGGAGGGGGCAGCCTCGGCTGAATTCGTGACAACATGCACATTTTACATGAAGTCATTTAGCAGACACTCTTTTATCCAGAGTGACTCACAGTCAGTTAATTCAACTAAATAGGTAAAACAAACCACATATATACATTTCTGTATCACACATAACAGAAAATAAATAAAAAACTCATATTGCAAGGAAAATCTACCATTCTACTACAGCCGTGGTGAACTTCCCTGTGGATCTTGATCAGTGGCGTAGCGCAGTTTCGCGGGGCCCCCCACAAGGTTTGAGCAAGGGCCCCATTTATTTATTTTTTGTTGCCATGGGGCAGAGAGAAAAATGTGAATTTTTATAGGTTTTTTTCTTCACATTTTGCCATGAGGCTGAGAGAACATGTTGCTGTTTTAGAGCTCAGGGATCCTTTGAAAGTTGGGACAATCTCAAATATTTTTCTTAACATTTTACAACATATGAAATATATGTTTTGATAGACCAAAGTATCAGCTATCACACCATGTAAAGGCACGACCTCCTAATGTATTTAATTTTTTCATAAAATACATACTAACTGGATTTATGTCAACTCTGTCAGACACCATAAAAGGCATTTCATTTTTTACAATTATTGTCCAACATAAATAAAGGCCTTGATTGTTTAATTCTAACATTAGATTATTCAAAAATGTAATACAAATCTCCAAACTTCTTTTTGTTTTGTTTTATAGCACTATTACATGCTCCAGGGCTAATTTAGTTAGCATTTTGGCATGTTTTTCTAGATGTAGAACATAAAACAACATTTATAAAGGATAACATTATCCCTTAGGAACAGTGATTACAATGTTTTTTTCAGAATATGGACAAAAAAAATCGATCTTAAGGGGGTCAGCCATCAGTGACGGAGTTGGCAAGCCACTGGCGAAGTTGACAACAGATACTCAAAACATACATATTTTTGTCTCAAAAAATAAAAGTACAATACAAATATTTGTAAAATATAGAAAATTATTCATTTGAAAATCACCAATAAAAATCAACATTCTATCATATCTTTCAGCACTCTTGACGTTAAATAAAAATCTGAAGGAGTTGACGTTTTACGGAGTTGACAAAAACTGCATTTTTCTTCTTAATTCAAGTGGTATACACAGTAGCAATTGAGTTTTTCCTCAGTTGCTTTCTGACTCTAAAACCTAATTAAATGTAACATATTTGAACCCAAATTCATATTCTATCTAAATCTATCAGGCAGATGGCGTTGACAGTTTGTGGTTGTGACCAGGATGATTCCAATATTGTTTAACTCTATCAAAAGTAGAGAACTTTCCAGACCATGAGTGCTCTGGTTGCACTACATGTAATGAGGACATGAAGAAGGGGTCCTTATGGTGTAGCTGACCCTGCTTATTCCTGATTCATTTAGGATTTTAGACAAATCTGACGGAGTAAACCAAATCTCCAGACACATCTTTAAGGAATCAACGTTTTTAGATAAATATTATTTAAAGTCACAGAGGACTATTGCAAGAAACTACATACGATCATTTTCCAGTTAATATCATTTTTTGTTGTTGCCAGTTTTCAGTTAATTTCAATGTTAACACTTTTTTGGAAAGTTTGAAATGTGTATCCTTTGCTCCGAACAAGGGCATTTCCAGGCATAGAGCTGACATGGAAATTAATAACATTGAAAGTATTAAAAAAAATCCCAAAACAATTCTTTTTCCCTTATAAAATTATCCTAAATGTAAATGTTAAGACCAAATAATCAGGATCATTGTGATTGCTACAGTATAATTGTTGTATAATTGTTCTGTTGAATGTGTTGTTCCCCTCCCAGTGAGCTTCCTCATGGCTCTGGTCGTGGCCTACTTCAGAAAGTCCAAGTTTAAGAAGTTCCAGAAGAGAGGATCTGACGACACAACAGAGGAACCCGCTGCTGGAATCACAGGTGTGTGTCGGGATGTCAGTGTGATGCGGTAGGACGAAGTCAGGCGCAGGACACAGAGCTCATCGAAAAACGTACTTTACTCATAGGGAACGTCGAATAACATAACCTCCACGCAGGGAGGAAACAAACCCGCTCACCAGACGACAACCAAACATGAACAAACACGCACAACATACAGTGGGAGCCAGAGGGTTAAATAGGGCAGTGATCAATGATCATGGGAACAGGTGTGAACAATCAAGACAAGACAAGACAAGTAGAACACAGAAACATAGATCGGTGGCAGCTAGTACTCCGGTGACGACGAACGCCGAAGCCTGCCCGAGCAAGGAGGAGGAGCAGCCTCGGCTGAATCTGTGACAGTGTGTCAGGTGTCAGGCGGTCTTTGTTGTGACAGAATCGTCCCCCTCTGTGTAGGTCGGGTGTGTGTCAGGTGGTCTTTGTTGTGACAGAATCGTCCCCCTCTGTGTAGGTCGGGTGTGTGTCAGGTGGTCTTTGTTATGACAGAATCGTCCCCCTCTGTGTAGGTCGGGTGTGTGTCAGGTGGTCTTTGTTGTGACAGAATCGTCCCCCTCTGTGTAGGTCGGGTGTGTGTCAGGTGGTCTTTGTTATGACAGAATCGTCCCCCTCTGTGTAGGTCGGGTGTGTGTCAGGTGGTCTTTGTTATGACAGAATCGTCCCCCTCTGTGTAGGTCGGGTGTGTGTCAGGTGGTCTTTTGTTATGACAGAATCGTCCCCCTCTGTGTAGGTCGGGTGTGTGTCAGGCGGTCTTTGTTATGACAGAATCGTCCCCCTCTGTGTAGGTCGGGTGTGTGTCAGGCGGTCTTTGTTATGACAGAATCGTCCCCCTCTGTGTAGGTCGGGTGTGTGTCAGGTGGTCTTTGTTGTGACAGAATCGTCCCCCTCTGTGTAGGTCGGGTGTGTGTCAGGTGGTCTTTGTTATGACAGAATCGTCCCCCTCTGTGTAGGTCGGGTGTGTGTCATGTTAGAACGGGTGTGCTTTTCTCTTTTCACACTACTGAGCCGAGCCAAGCTGAGCTGTACTGAGCTGGCCTGGTTACACATCCACACCATGGCTGCTGCTGGAACTATGCTGGGAAGGACAATGTCAACAGAACATATCAGAGCCATCACAATACGGTTTGGATAGGCATGAGAGTGTGAATATGGTAATAGGGTGCACACCTTAACACTGGGAATGTTCTGATGTCCATCTCTCTCTCTCTCCGAGCGAGCCTCTCTCGCGAGTGGCGCAGAAGGCGCGAAGCAGATAGCGAGGACAAGGGAGCTCGAGGCGGAAGCTAGAGAGAACATCAGAAAAGACCGGAGGAACGCGAGGGAGAACTGGCTCTGGGAGCATGAGGGTAGAGACTCGTCTCTAACAGAAGAGCAGGAAGAGACCGATCGAAAAAGAGCGAAGATCCTCCGAGAAGAGAGGAAGAGCCGAAAATATAGGCCCTCTCATCTACTCTCCTCTCCTCGCCTCTCCTCTCCTCTCCTCTCCTCTCCTCTCCTCTCCTCTCCTCTCCTCTCCTCTCCTCCTCTCCTCTAGCCTGTGAGTGGCAGGGCCCTAAGAAGCCCCTGTGTCCAGTCAGTCTGTTGATCGATGATAGGAGGAGACTCCAGGTGTTTGACCGGTCTGGACCCGCTCTACGGTCACTCAGCCTGGGTACCCAGACCCACCTGGACGTCCTTCTATCCAGTGACCATTACCGCAGGGCTCTGCTGCTGAAAGTACCCAAAGAGTATGACCTGGTGAGTAGATGGGAGAGTGGTGTGTGTGTGTGTGTGTGTGTGTGTGTGTGTGTGTGTGTGTGTGTGTGTTTGCGTGTGTGTGTAAACTCTGCTTGTTGTGGTCTGTCCCCAGGTGCTGTACTTTGAGGACGAGGGCCAGCGTGGAGAGTTTGTCCGGCACCTTCGCTCTGAGGTGACAGACAGCGGACAGGAGCTGGCGGTGAGGGACATGACAGAGAAGGAGCTACTGAGAGAGGCAGTGACCAGAGATCAGAGAGCTCAGATAGTTGAGACCTTCATCAGGACTGCCTTCGCCAAGGTACCGGAATATACTGTGATTTAGGAGACGCTTTACTGTAATATGGTGATTTAGGAGACGCTTTACTGTAATATGGTGATTTAGGAGACGCTTTACTGTAATATGGTGATTTAGGAGACGCTTTACTGTAATATGGTGATTTAGGAGACGTTTACTGTAATATGGTGATTTAGGAGACGATTACTGTAATATGGTGATTTAGGAGACGCTTTACTGTAATATGGTGATTTAGGAGACGCTTTACTGTAATATGGTGATTTAGGAGACGTTTACTGTAATATGGTGATTTAGGAGACGATTACTGTAATATGGTGATTTAGGAGACGCTTTACTGTAATATGGTGATTTAGGAGACGCTTTACTGTAATATGGTGATTTAGGAGACGATTACTGTAATATGGTGATTTAGGAGACACTTTACTGTAATTTGGTGATTTAGGAGACGCTTTTCTGTAATATGGTGATTTAGGAGAGGCTTTACTGTAATATGGTGATGTAGGAGAGGTTTACGGTAATATGGTGACAACAATACGGTAACATTCATGGCCTCAATGAGGGAAAAAAGTATTTGATCCCCTGCTGATTTTGTACGTTTGCCCACTGATAAAGAAATGATCAGTCTATAATTTTAATGGTAGGTTTATTTGAACAGTGAGAGACTGAACATTAGCGAGTAATATACTCGGAAGTGGTGGATGGTGCGCGCGCCTCCTGAGTCGGACTAGAAGTCCACTCCAAATATCTGCTATCTTGGAGCAGCCTCTCAATTGCCCTGGGTGGTACGAACAAAGGATCCAATTTGGGAAAGTCGTATTCCTGGTCGTAATACTGGTGAGTTACCGCCGCTCTGCGATCCAAATGTTATTTCCGGCTGTTTGTAATAACACAAAAAAACGTTCTGGGCTAATAATGTAAGAAATAATACACAAAAAAACAAAATGTGTGTTGTGATAATTGCGTTATTTGCTCTATAACCTATTAATTCATATGCCTTGCGACCGTGATATATAGGCCTAAAGGCCAAGACAATATGAAGACACAGTGGCAGAATAAATTCAACCACACCTTTGTTTTATCACAAAACCAGATAGCAAACTCTGTCCGGTGAAGTCCACAAAGCATATTGCATGTACAGTAACAGACAGTTACGTGACCTACAGCATGGTCAAACAAGGTAATGTTTCCGACATTTTCGGACCACTAAACAACTATTGATTTAGAACCACGGAGAGTTACCGCAAGTCGCAAAGAAACCAGGAGCTGCCTCCACTACCCCAGCACCATTTCAACTTCAACATTTCAACATCATCAAATCACCTCTGCTTAGTCTAATACAGTCACAACTAAAAGTTACCAAAAACCATTTAGCCCAATCAACAAGTTAAATATGATGTAGCTTTCCATGGTTCTGTTTTCTGTGTGTGTGTGCGTACAAGTAGAAAACATGTTGACTCACCCTACTTGTAGAGAAACACCAATGCCATCCTCCTCTCTTTCATGTTGACGAAACGCTCTATGACTCTGTCATACAGTACACGCTTTTATTTTGTGTTGTCCTCGGCTACCTGGCTAAAATGCTGCTCGCTAGCCTAACTTCCATTCATGGGCAACGTTAGCTAGTTAACATTAGCCTTCTACATCTAGCTACATATTGAACTTCCATCCTCTCAGGCCAGGGGCACAACAATGTATGAATGAATGGTTGATTAGAATTTCATTGAGAAAACAGAAAGGTGTCAAATATTTTTTTTCCGCAAACATCCATTCTGAATTTAAAAGTAATCCTAGAAGTAATCATTTAGTTTTTCAAAAGTATCTGTAATCTGATTACAATATTTTTGCTGGTAAAGTAGAGGATTACAGTTACCGTTTTTTTTGGTAATCAGTTACATGTAATCCATTACTCGCCAACCCTGGACATGCTGTATGTCAGGGTTCTTCAATTCCGGTCCTGGAGGGCTGAAACACCTCTGTTTTTCATCCTCTCCTTCTAATCAGGGGCTAATTCAGACCTGGGACACCAGGTGAGTGCAATTAACTACCAGGTAGAAATAAAAGGAGACCGTTTTCATTGACCTGGCCAAGGCTTTCGACTCTGTCAACCACCGCATTCTTATTGGCAGACTAAATAGCCTTGGTTTCTCAAATGACTGCCTCGCCTGGTTCACCAACTACTTCTCAGATAGAGTTCAATGTGTCAAATCGGAGGGCCTGTTGTCTGGACCTATGGCAGTCTCTATGGGGGTGCCACAGGGTTCAATTCTTGGGCCGACTCTTTTCTCTGTGTATATCAATGACGTCGCTCTTGCTGCTGGTGACTCTCAGATCCACCTCTACGCAGACGACACCATTTTGTATACATCTGGCCCTTCATTGGACACTGTGTTAACAAACCTCCAAACGAGCTTCAATGCCATACAACACTCCTTCAGTAGCCTCCAACTGCTCTTAAACACTAGTAAAACTAAATGCATGCTCTTCAACCGAACGCTGCTTGCACCCGCCCACCCGACTAGAATCACTACTCTCGACAGGTCTGACCTAGAGTATGTGGACAACTACAAATATCTAGGTGTCTGGTTAGACTGTAAACTCTCCTTCCAGACTCACATTAAGAATCTCCAATCCAAAGTTAAATCTAGAATCGGTTTCCTATTTCGCAACAAAGCCTCCTTCACTCATGCTGCCAAACATGCCCTCGTAAAACTGACTATCCTACCGATCCTTGACTTCGGCGATGTCATTTACAAAATAGCCTCCAACACTCTACTCAGCAAATTGGATGTAGTCTATCACAGTGCCATCCATTTTGTCTCCAAAGCCTCATATACTACCCACCACTGTGACCTGTAAGCTCTTGTTGGCTGGTCCTCACTACATATTCGTCGCCAAACCCACTGGCTCCAGGCCATCTATAAATCACTGCTAGGCAAATCCCCGCCTTATCTTAGCTCATTGGTCACCATAGCAACACCCACCCGTAGTCTGCACTCCAGCAGGTATATCTCACTGGTCATCCCCAAAGCCAACACCTCCTTTGGCCGCCATTCCTTCCAGTTCTCTGCTGCCAATGACTGGAAAGAATTGCAAAAATCTCTGAAGCTGGAGACACTTATCTCCCTCACTAACTTTAAGCATCAGTTGTCAGAGCACCTTACCGATCACTGCACCTGTACACAGCCCATCTGAAATTAGCCCGCCCAACTACCTCATCCCTATATTGTTATTTATTTTGCTCATTTGTACCCCAGTATCTCTATTTGCACATCATCTCTTGCACATCTATCATTCCAGTGTTAATACTAATTGTAATTATTTTGCACTATAGCCTATTTATTGCCTTACCTCCATAACTTGCTACATTTGCACACACTGTATATATATGTATTTCTGTTGTATTTTTGACTTTGTTTTGTTTTACCCCATATGTAACTCTGTGTTGTTGTTTTTATCGCACTGCTTTGCTTTATCTTGGCCAGGTCGCAGTTGTAAATGAGAACTTGTTCTCAACTGGTTTACCTGGTTAAATAAAGGTGAAATAAAAATAAAATAAAAAAATAAAAACAGAAGTGTTTCGGCCCTCCAGGACCGGAATTGAAGAACCCTGCTGTATGTATTGGCTCAATGGGAGAACCCAGTTAAATAAAGGTTCAATAAAAAATATATCCATCTCAGGTCCTGGAGATAGAGAAGTGTGATGCCAGGGACCTGAGTGGTGCATCCTGTAGAAAGACCCGTGAAGCCCTGGAGACTGAGCTGACAGGAACTGAGTTTGCCGACGCCCTGGGACTCAAACCGGACTCTCTCTTTGTTGACTCCATGTTCACGCTTGCCGACAAGGATGGAAACGGATACCTCTCCTTCCAGGAGTTCCTTGATGTCATCGTAATCTTCATGAACGGTGAGTAGGTGTCACGCCCTGACCTATGGAACTCTTGTTTGTTGAGTCAGGGTGTGAATGTCCTATGGTAGTTCTATGTTATGTATATCTATGTTTAGGTTCTAGTTGTTCTATATCTATGTTTGGCCGGGTATGATTCCCAATCAGAGGCAGCTGTCGCTCGTTGTCTCTGATTGGGGATCATACTTAGGTAGCCTATTTCCTACGTTGTGTTGTGGGATTTTTGTTCCGTTTAGGCTTGTATGTGTATAGCCTGAGGACTTCACGTTACGTTGTTTCTTGTTTTGTTGTATGTTTATTGAGTTAATAAACATGTACGCTTTTCACGCTGCACCTTGGTCCGACCCGTCTCTCAATGAGCGTGACAGAAGGTTTCCATTTCAATTCAAGTCAATTCAGAAAGTAAACTAAATTCCAATTCCACGTTTTACTAATTAAAAAGCATTGAAGAGAATTGGAATTTCAGTGTACTTCATGAATTGACTGGAATTTAAGTGGAATTGATCCCAACCCTGGAGTTCAGGGTCGTGTTTATTAGACAAACAAACAGAAGATAACTGACTGAAACAGGAATTGTCCAATAAGAAACACCAAATTTTGTTCTGAGATTCCACTGTGTGGTTTGTCCAGGTTCCCCCGAGGAAAAGTCTAAACTGATGTTCTCCATGCACGACATCGATGGAGATGGTTTCTTATCGAAAGAGGAGTTTTCCAGGCTGCTCAGGTTAGCACTGTTGTCGATTCTCTTAAAGGTCCCGAACACTCATTCTGATTCCCATGTAAAATAGCCTTTTGAGTGACTAAAATATCACCCATAATATTTGTTTTTGGGGGGAAAGAAATGCTCAAGATTTTAGAAAAGTACTTTTCTCTCATGGCTAACTACCAGGAAGTTTGAAAAGAAAGGGTGAGTGGGCGGTGAGTTTATATTCATGACCTCGCCTTGACTGACAGCTCTTTGAAATGCCTATGTCAAGAAACTTGGGTGCAGTGAGCAGTGTTGCACAATCCAAAATGAGTGAAAAAGATAAGCACCATATTAATGGGTTCCTGGACTAACTCCGACCGTCTTAACTCTGGCCATCTTGTGGTCTGTTCTGCAGGTCGTTCATAGAGATCTCCAGTAGCCTTCTGTCTAAGAGCCAGGCTGAGGAGGCCATCAAGGCCATGCTGAAGGCTGCAGGCTTCAACGACAAGGAACAGATTACCTGGGAGGACTTCCACTTCCTGCTCCGGGACCACGAGAAGGAACTGACCTTCGCTCAGCTCAACATCAAAGGTAACAAAGGCTGTAGAGGGCCGACCAGGGACACAAAATACTCTCAAAGGCTTCTGCAAAGCTTCTTCTTCTTCTTCTTCTTCTTCTTCTTCTTCTTCTTCTTCTTCTTCTAATGTTATGTATCTCTGCAGGGATGGAGAAGGAGGGGGGAAACAGACTGAGTCGACACCAGCATGTTTCTTTCATCACCCCAAACAGGAACAGGTAAGATAATAACATTAGAATAGAGGAAGAGAATAACTAGTAATGAGGATACACCCTTTATGAGAGAGCTGCTGACTAACAAAACATTTATAGTAAAAATGCCCTCTTGATTGTAATCTACTGTATTTCGCTATCTCCTTTCACAAACATCTTAGCAGACGCTCTTATCCAGAGCGATTTACAGGAGCAATTAGGGTTAAGTGCCTTGCTCAAGAGCACATAGACAGATTTTTCACCTAGTCGGCTCGGGGATTAGAACCAGCAACCTTTCTGGTTACTGGCACAACGCTCTTAACCACTAAGCTACCTGCCACCCTTGTGGACATGATGATGATGATTGCTTTTTTCCAAGTAACCTGTTATATTACTATTACAACGACTATTACGATTATTAATACAAGTTATTTTAACTACACCACCCTTGTCTGCTGATATGATAAACATCCGTTTTCAAACGCCGGGCTTCATGCCTCATGCTCCTTATTTAAAACGGTAATGTCTTCTCTTCCTTAGCTCACCCTCAGAAGGGGACACGCAGTTCTCCAGCAGCCTTGGGAAAGACGGGCAGGAACTTCGCAGACGACAAGGGAAAAGGTAAGTTCTCTAGGGTTAGGGGAATTTCCATTTAAATTCTGGAAATAAAGTGAAATTCTTTCACTGTCCATCGAAAAGCAATGAGGACTGAAATCAAATGGAACTTATCTATCCTGTGGCTTCGTTATATCACTAACACCCAGTAATACCTTTTAAAATATAATTATTGCCCTTAATGATGGCAATCCAGCCTGAACCTCAGCCGGATATTCTGTTTTTACCCACTCTCCATTGATTCATTTAATTGTCCTTGCTAACTCTGACTCATCCATTGTATTTACTGATTGCTGCATTGCTGTAACATAAAGGTTCAAAATGGTCTCAATAGTTCTTTGTTGAAGGACCTTTCTCTTAAAACGTGTTCAGCAATAAATGCCATTGAAGTGAATTATGCTGCTGCCTGAACCTTCTTTTTCAGTTTCAGTTGAATAAATTATGTTGGAACAATACATATTTTCTCAGTCACATGCTCAATCTAAACCACTGCAAATAACTCCCTCCTTCCTCCTCCCATGCAGATCGGGCCTCCAGAGGCCTAAGGTCTACGTGAAGCCTAAGAAGGAGCGTTACAACAGGAACCCCATCCAGCAGAAGATCCAGCACTTCAAACGCTTTGTAGAGAACTACCGTCGCCACATTGTCTGCTTCACTATCGTCTACGGCATCACAGCCGGAGTGGCTCTGGAGAGATGCTACTGTGAGTTCTCTTCTCTTCTCTTGTCTTGTCTTCTCTTCTCTTCTCTTGTCTTCTCTCCTCTTTTCTTGTCTTCTCTTGTCTTCTCTTTCTTGTCTTCTCTTCTCTTGTCTTCTCTTGTCTTGTCTTCTCTTCTCTTCTCTTATCTTCTCTTGTCTTCTCTTGTCTTCTCTTGTCTTGTCTTCTCTTCTCTTCTCTTCTCTTCTCTCTCTTTCTTGTCTTCTCTTTTCTTGTCTTCTCTTCTCTTGTCTTCTCTTGTCTTATCTTGTCTTCTCTTATCTTGTCTTCTCTTGTCTTCTCTTGTCTTGTCTTCTTGTCTTCTCTTGTCTTGTCTTCTCTTCTTTCCTCTTTTCTTGTCTTCTCTTGTCTTGTCTTGTCTTCTATTCTCTTGTCTTCTCTTGTCTTCTCTTGTCTTGTCTTGTCTTGTCTTCTCTTCTCTTCTCTTCTCTTTTCTTGTCTTCTCTTGTCTTTACTTATTTTTATTCTCTTCTCTTGTCTTCTCTTGTCTTCTCATCTTGTATTTTCTTGTCCTCTCTTCTCTTGTCTTTTTTTCTTTCTTTTCTCTTCTGTCTGTTCTTCTGTTCTGAGAGTTAGCTGGCACTTCGTGACAACTGCTGATGTAAAAAGGGCTTTATAAAATACATTTGATTGATTGAATTTGAGCTAGCCTGGCTGGTCCCAGATCTGTTTGTGCTGTCTCGCCAACTCCTATACTTGTTGTCAAGACAGTACAGACAGATCTGAGACCAGGCTTGGGAGTAAGCTGTGCCAAGAAGAAGAAGAAGGCTGGGAGTTACCTGTTTTGTCAATCTCAGTGCCCAGAACCAAATCAGATAAGGCGGTCATGAGCGACGACTGTTTTGTTGACACAACTGCTTAACTTAATGAGATATTAATAATTTAGTTGATTACTCATGCAATTCTAACTCCATTGCCCTACAAAGGCATCTTGTGAATGCTTAGGTACATTTTCCATCACATTACAATAGCTATACTGTATCTGAATATAAAAGCCTTCTGTCAGCCTGGTATATACCCTGAATCCCAAATCAAAAGCCCTGGCCCTAATCCTTCCTGTAGATCTAACAGAATGGGATATGTTTAAGCAATATGGTGATGACTTGAACTTCCCTTCTGTTTGGCTGACTTTTTGCCCATATTGATTACACTTATCCAATCCCTTCAGATCTACAGGAGTGCCTAGGGAATCCAGAGGGGCTGAGGGTCTTATTTGGGATTCAGGTAAAGCCCTGTGGACTAACAGAAACAAACCCCTAGCTGCGTGTTTAGACTATGGTTTGCAGGCATACTCCACGGGCGTGCCGGAGACGTCGGTGGTGGGTATCTTGGTGTCGCGTGGTTCGGCGGCGGCCATCTCCTTCCTGTACCCCTACATGCTACTGACAGTGTGCCGTAACCTCATCACCTTTGGACGAGAGACCTTCCTCAACCAATACATCCCCTTCGACGCCGCTATAGACTTCCACCGCTTCATGGCCATGTCTGCCCTCTTATTTTCAGGTCAGAGGGCGACTCACTTCTCAGAGCATCAACACTAAAGTAGGGGTTGACTGGGTGGAATTGGAGAAAAAAAAGTCAATCACCAATGTAAAATCCTGAAAATATTTTTTTTTTTTTTTCGTCAAAATGATTTCACTTTGGGGAACTGATGATTTCACTTTGGGGAACTCCTACATTCATGAATACTAGCTCTTCACATCACATTGTAGTAACACAATTACAACATGTGTTTCCAGTTCATGTTGTGTTTTGCTCCCGAATTAACCCCTTCTCCTCTCGTCTTTAGTTATCCACTCTCTGGGTCATGTGGTGAACGTCTACGTGTTCTCAGTCAGTGACCTCAGCATCCTGGCCTGTCTGTTCCCCAGGGTCCTAGCTGACAATGGGTAATGGCATTATTCCTGATTCTTCTTGATTCTTCTGAATTTGTGGGGATTCTTCTTCATTTTCATACCTCTTTACATACATACTCTTGTATCTGATTTACTATGTGTTGACTATTAACTGGGTTGACTATTTACTATGTGTTGACTATTAACTGGGTTGACTATTTACTATGTGTTGACTATTTACTGGGTTGATTATTTACTATGTGTTGACTATTTACTGGGTTGACTATTTACTATGTGTTGACATTGACTTACTATTTATATTTACTATTCGGGTTGACTATTTACTATGTGTTGACTATTTACTGGGTTGACTATTACTGGGTTGACTATTTACTATGTGTTGACTATTTACTGGTTGACTATTTACCTTGTGTTGACTATTTACTATGTGTTGACTATTTACTGGGTTGACTATTTACTATGTGTTGACTATTTACTGGGTTGACTATTTACCTTGTGTTGACTATTTACTATGTGTTGACTATTTACTGGGGTTGATTATTTACTATGTGTTGACTATTTACTGGGTTGACTATTTACTGGGTTGACTATTTACCTTTGTGTTGACTATTTACTGTATTTACTATTTACTGTGTTTGACTATTATTATTTTTGTTTTTTTGGGCTATTTTTCTTTTGGGGTTTACTATTTACTATTTGTTGACCATTATTGTTTGACATTTTTCAGGTCTGAGAGCCGATTTGAAATGGTCGTGGTGGTTCTTTCAGACTGTTTCCCGGTAGGACGAATACAAAAACCCTTCCCACCGGTCAAAAAATGGGCAAAAATATTGAAAGTCATAAAATTTTGTAAATTTTAACCCGTTTCTAGTTATTTAAAGACGCCCCCCTTTAACCAGTTTTGCCCGCTGGGTTTGCTTTAGTCCCAAAATATTGTCTCTGAATGATAAAAAGCTACTTTTTGTTATTTCTGGGAAAATTTTTTAAAAGCTCCCAAATTTTTTTCGTTTTCTCTCTCTTGGGTTTCTCTAAGGGGTTTTCTCTCTCTAAAGTTTTCTCTAAGGGGTTTTTCTCTTTTTCTAACCCTTAAATTTTAACGTGCTCTCTCTCTAAAGTTACTCAACCCGGGTTTTCTCTCTAAAGTTTCCTAAAAGTGGCCCTCTCTTTCTCAAAATTTCCCCTAATTTTCCAAGGTCTTTTCTCTCAACGTTACTTAACCTTTTCTTCTCCTAAAAATTTCTTAACTGGTTCCTCTCTGTTTAAACTAAAGTTGTCTCTCTCCCCTAACGTTTCTTTAACTGTCTCTCTCTCTAACGTTTCTCTAAAGTGGGTTTTTCTCTAACGTTACTTAAGGGTTCTCTTTTCCTAACTTTCTCAAAGTTTTCTTTTCTCTCAAAGTTCTCTAAAAGGGTTTTCTCTCTCTAACCCTTACTCTAAGTTTTTTCCCCTCTCTCTAACGTTTCCCCTAACGGGGTCTCTCTCTCTCTAAAGTTACTCCAACGTGGGCTCCTTCTAAAAGTTACTTTAAGGGGTCTCTCTTCTCTAACGTTTCCTAAGTGGGCTCCTCTCTCTAACGTTACTCAAAGTGTCTCTCTCCCTAACGTTACCACCTGGGCCTTCCCCTCTAACGTTACTCAACGGTTTTCTCTCTCCCAAAAGTGAATTTTTTAACGCCAACATTTTCCCCTTCTCCCCTAACGTTAATTAACGTGTCCTCTCTCTTTAAAGTTACTAACGGTCTCTCTCTCTAACGTTACTCTAACGTGTCTCTCTCTCTCTAACGTTACTCTAACGTTTCTCTCTCTCTCTAACGTTACTCTAAGTTTTCTCTTCTCAAAGTTTTCTCTAAAGGGGTCTCTCTCCCCTTTAAAGTTACTTAAAGTTTTCTCTCTCATTTTTCTTCCGTTACTCTAACGTGTCTCTCTCTCTCTAACGTTACTCTAACGTGTCTCTCTCTCTAACGTTACTCTAACGTGTCTCTCCCCTCTAACGGTTTCCTAACGTGTTTTTCTCTTTTCTAACGTTTCTTTAACGTGTTTTTCTCTCGCTAACGGGTTTTCCCCCAACGGTTTGTCCTCTCTCTAACGTTACTCTAACGTGTCTCTCTCTCTAAAAGTTACTTTAACGTCCTTTTCTTCTAACGTTACTCTAAGTTTTCTCTCTTCTGGTTTCTCTAAAGGGTTTGTCTCCTCTCTCAAAGTTAATCTAACGGTTGGGCTCTTCTAACGTTACTAAAGGGGGTTTTCTCTCTCTAACGTTACCTAACGGTCTCTCTCCTAACGTTTTCGGTTTTTAACGGTTTTACTTTTCTCTCTCTAACGTTTCCCCAACGTTTTCTCTCTCTCCTCGGTTTCTCTAACTGTCTTCTCTTTAACGTTAAATCTAAAAAAGGGCTCTTCTCTGTTTTTCTCTAACGTGGGCTTTTTCCCCTCTAACGTTACTTTTAACGTGTTTCTCTTCTTCTTAAAAGGTTTTACTTTACCTTCTTCAAGTGTTTCTCTTAAATTTCTCAATGTGTGCCCCTCTTCTAAAGTACCTAACGTGCTCTCCTCAACGTTACTCTAAGTGTCTCTTTTCAAATTATCTAAAAGTGTTCCTCTCTAAAGTTACTCTAACGGGTTTTTCCCCCTCTCTCTAAAGTTTCTCTAAAGGTCTCTCTTTTCTAAAGTTAAAAATTTTAAGTGTTCTTCTCTTCGTTTTAACGGCCCCTTTCCCCTAATTGGTTCTCTCTCTCTAACGTTACTTTAACGTTGTCTCCTCTCTAAGTTACTCTAACGTGACTCTCTTTTTAACGGTTTCTTTAAAGTGTCTCTCTCTAAAAGTTTCTCTAACGGGTCTCTCCTTTTCTGTTACTCAACGTGTCTCTTCTCTAACGTTACTCTAAAAGGGGTTTTCTAAATTTTTTCTCTAACGTTAATTAACGTTTTTCTTCCCCTCTTTCTCTAACGTTACCCCTTTAAAGTTGTCTCTTTTCTCTAAGTTCCCCTTTAAAAGGGCTTTCTCTCAACGTTTCTTAACGTGTCTCTCTCCTAACTTTTCTCAACGGTTTCCCCTCTAACGTTATTTAAGGGTTTTCTCTCTAACGTTTAAACAACGTTGGGGTTTTTCTCTAACGTTACTCAACGTGTTTCTCTCTAACGTTACTCTAAAGGGCTTCTCCCCTAACGTTACTTAACGTTTCTCTCTCTCTAACGTTACTCTAAAGTGGGCTCCTCTTTCAGTTACTCTAACGGGTCTCCTCTCTTAAAAGGACTCTAACGTGTCTCTTTCTCTAAAGTTACTTAAAGTGTTCTCTCTCGTTATCTTAAGGGGGCTTTTCCCCTCTTAAATTTTTCTTTTAACGGGGTTTTCTCTATCTAAACGTTACTCAAAAGGTTTTTTCTGTTTTTAATTTTCTCTCTCTAACGTTTTCTCTAACGTTTTCTCTCTCTCTTAAAAAACGGGTTTCTTTTAACGGTTTTTCTCTCTCCCCTTTTAAGTTTCCTAAAGTGTCTTTTCTCTCTAACGTTTCTCTAAAGTTTTTCTTCTTCCCAAAAGTTACTCTAAAGTGTCTCTTCTCTCTAAGGGTTTTCTAACGGGGGTTCTCCTCTTAAAGTTTCTCTAACGTTTTCTCTCTCTTTACTCTAACGTGGGTTTTCTCTCTTTTAACGTTAAATCAAAGTTTTTCTCTCTTCCTTTAAAGTTACTCCCAAACGGTCTTCTCTCTTAACGTTTCTCTTTTAAAGTTTTCATCTCTCTTTTAAGTTACTCTAAAAGGGTTTCTCTCTCCTTTAAAGTTTCTCTTTCCCTGTCTCTCTTCAACTTTTCTCAAAGTGTTTTTCTCTTCTTTTAACCCTTTTACTTTTAAGTTTCTCTTTTACTCTTTTAAAGTTACTTTTAAAATGTCTCTCTCTCTAACGTTACTCTAACGGGGCTCTTTTCTTGTACTCTAAAGTGTTTTTTCTCTCTAAAAAAAATTACTCTAAGGTTCTCCCCTCTAAGTTACTCTAAAGTGTCTCTCTCTCTTAAATTACTCTAACGGGGGGCTCTCTCTCTAACTTACCTTTAAAGGTTCCCTTCCAAAAGTTACCCCTAACGTGTCTCTTTTCCTTTTAAAAGTTACTCAACTGTCCCCTCTCTTTAACGTTACTTTTAAAAAGTCTCTCTCTCTAAGTTATCAACTGTCTCTCTCTCTCTGTTTTCTAAAGTTTTTTCCCTCTAACGGGTTTCTCTAACGTTTTTCTCTCTCCCCTTGTTACTCTAAGGGTCTCTCTCCAACGTTACTCTAAGTGGTCCTTTTATTAAAGTTACTCTAAGGGGTTTTCTCTCTCTAACGGTTTCCTAACGTGTTTCCCTCTCTAACGTTACTCTAACGGGTCTCTTTTTCTCTAAACTTACTCTAACCTGTTTTTTTTCTCTTTTTTCTCTCTAACGTTTTTTAAAGTGTTTTCTCTCTTAACGTTAATCTTACCGGGTTTCTCTTTTCTCTTTAAAGGGTTTCCCCTTTTAATTGGGAAGTGTCTTTTTCTCTCTCTAAAGGGTTTCTTAAAGTGTCCCCCCCTCTCTCTAACGTTTACTCTAACGGTTTTCTCTCTCTCCAAGTTTTTCCCAACGTGTCTCTCCCCTCTAACGGTTTCTCAAAATGTCTTCTTCTCTTCCCTTACTCCAACGTGTCTCCCCTCCTAAAGTTACTCAAAAAGTCTTCTCTCTAACGTTATTAAAGTTTTCTCCTTTAACGTTACTCAACGTGTCTCTCTCTCTAAAAGTTTCTCTAAAAAGGGCTCTCTCCCCTAACGTTTTCTCTAAAGTTTTTTCTCTCTCTCAAAAAAAATTTCCTCTTTCCCGGGTTTTCTCTATTTAAAGTTAATTAACGGTTTTCTCTCAACATTACTCTAATGTTTTTCTCTCTCTTTTAACGTTACTTAAGTGTTCTCTCCTCTTAACTACTTAACGTTCCCCCTCTCTTCTAACGTTTTCCCCTTAAAGTTTCCTCTCTCTCTCTAACGTTACTCTAACGTGTCCCCTTTTCTTAAACGTTACTCTAAAGTGTTCCCCTTCTCTAACGGTTTTCTAAAGGTCTCTCTCTCAAAATTTCTCTAAAGTGTTTTTCTCTCTCTAACGTTACTTAAGGGGGATCTTTTTCTAACGTTAAACCCAACGGTCTCTCCCCTTTTTCTAAAGTTTCCCCCTTAAACCCCGGTTCTCTCTCCTTTTTGTTAATCTAACGGTCTTCCCCTCTCTAACGGGTTTCTCTTAAAGGTTTTCTCTCTCCCCTAACGTTCTCTAAAGTGTCTCTCTCCCTAACGTTTTCTCTAAAGGTCCCCTCTTTCCCCTTAAAGTTACTTAACGGTCTCTCTCCTAAATTACTTAAAGTGTTTTTCTCTCTCAACGTTTCTCTAACGGTCTTTTTCTCTTAACGTTACTCAACCTGTTTTCTCTCTTTTTAAAATTCTCTCTAAAGTTTTCTCTCTTTTTCTAAGTTACTCTAAAATGTCTCTTTCTCTAACGGGTTTCTCAACGTTTTTCTCTCTCTTTTTAAAGTTTCTCTAACGTGTCTCTCTCTCTAACGTTACTCTAACGTTTCCCCTCTCTTTCTAACCCTTTCCCCTTAAAGTTGTCTTTTCTCTCCTAACGTTTTCCCAAACGTGTTTTCTCTCTCTAACGTTCCCCTTTAAAGTTTTCCCCTCTTCTAAAGTTACTCTAAGTGTTTCTCTCTCTAACGTTACTCTAAAGTGTCTTTTCTCTTTTTCTTAAGGGTTTCTTAAAGGGGTTTATTTTCCCCTTAACCCTTATCTTTAAAGGTCTTTCTTTAACTTAATCTAATTTTTTCTTCTCTAAAGTTACTCAAGTTTCCTTGTTTTGTCCTTTTCTCTAACTTAATCTAAAAAGGGGCTCTCCTCTTAATTAACGTGTTTTCTCTCTTCTAACTCTCTTAACGTTTCTCTACGGGTCTCTCTCTTTTAACCCTTAATCTAAAGGTTTTCTTTCTCTTAAAATTACTCTAAAAGGTTTTTCTCTCTCTAACGTTACTCTAAGTTTTTCTCTCTCTAAGTTACTCTAAGGGATCCCAATTTTTATTTTTTCAAATTAAACGGTTTTCCTTTAATTTTTAAGTGTTTTCTCTTAATTATCCGGGTTTCTTTCTAACGTTTTTTGGTTTTCCTCTAAAGTTACTCTAAAAGGGTTTTTTCTCTTCTAACGTTTCTCTAACGGTCTCTTTTCTCTCTAACGGGATTAAAGGTCTCTCTCTCTTTAAAGTTTTCTCTAACGGGGTTTTCTCCAAATTTACTCTAACGGTTCTCTCTCTCTAAAGTTTCTTTTAAAAGTGTCTCCCCTTCAACGTTACTCTAAAAAGTCTCTCTCTTCCCAAAGTTCTCTAACGTTTTTTCCCTCTCTAAAGTTACTCTAAGTGTCTTTCCTCAACGTTACCCAAAGTGGCCCTCTTTTTCTCTAACGGGTTTTTCCCAGGAATTTTAAAGGGCCTCCTCTTATTCTTTCTTTCTTTCGTTTTTTTAAAGGGCTCCCTCCAAATTTTAAAACTTCCCAAAGAATCAAGGCCCCTTTTCCGAGGTTTCTCTCAAATTTCTCTAAGGGTTCTCTCTTCTGGGGGACCAAAGTTCTTTTTTCTTAAAACTAACTGTTTCCAAGTACCAACTTCCCCCTTAAGTTTTTAAAGGCCTTTTTGAAAGTTAAGGTTCTTTTAATTCCAAGGGGCCTTCCTTGGACCAAGGAAAAGCCTAAAAGGGGAACAAGGGTCTCCTTAAGGGGAAAAGGGTCTTCCCCCCCGCCCTCCATTTTTCTTAAAGGGTTCCCTAAAATTTTTATGGTTTTTGTTTTAGTGTCCATTTTGGTTACCCCAAAAAGTTTCTTCCGAAATTTTAAGTTTTTCCCATTATTTAAATTTCTCCCTTTTAAGGAAATTTCGGCCCCCTTAATGATCTTTTTGGGTTTTTTAAGTTATTGGCTCCTTTTAAGAAAATAAGTTTTCTCCTCTTCCCTTTCCCTCCCCCCTGGTTTCTAGTGTATCTAAAACATGAACCTCTTGGCCTTGTCTCCTCCCCTGTCAGACGGTCATCCACGGCAGCTATGCTCTGCTCCAGCAGCCTCGTTTCTACATCTACCTGATCCCCCCGGGACTGCTCTTCCTCCTGGACAAACTCATCAGCCTCAACAGGAAGAAGGTGGAGATCGCCGTGGTCAACGCTACACTGCTGCCCTCAGGTAGGGAGTGGGATAGAGGGAGGGGGAGGGGAGGGAGGGAGGGAATGGAGGGAGGGAAGAAAGGAGTGAGGAAGGGGGGATGGATGGTAGATTGGATGGATGGATGGATGGATGGATGGATGGATGGATGGATGGATGGATGGATGGATGGATGGATGGATGGATGGATGGATGGATGGATGGATGGATGGATGGATGGATGGATGGATGGATGGATGGATGGATGGATGGATGGGTGGGTGGATGGATACATGAGGTCCCATTCCAGTCAATGCTCTTTGTGGGTTAGTTCTAGTTCTATCATTGTATTCCCCTCCCCTCTGGCTATTTCCTTGTGCTACGGGTCTGGTAGCCTCCTCTATCTCTAGCTCTATCACTCTCTCTCTCTCTCTCAGCTATATTCTGCTTCTCTCGCTCTCTCCCTCTCTATTCTTCTCTATCTCTCTTCTCTCCCCTTGCTTCTATCTCTCCTCTCTCTCCTCTATATCAATCTTCTCTCTCTCTCTCTCTCTCTCTCTATCGCTATCGTCTTTCTCTCTCTCTTCTCCCCCTCTCTTTCTTTCTTTCTCTTCTCTCTCTCTCTCGCGCTCTCTCTCTCGCTTGTCTCCTCTCGCTTCTCTCTCTCAATTCAATTCAAATAACGTATGTTTAACATTCCAAAGCAATGTGAAGTAGATAGTAAACAAAAAGCTGAAATAAAACAATAAAAATGAAACAGTACAACATTACACTCAGAAGTTCCAAAGAATAAAGACATTCAAATGTCATATTTTGTATATATACAGTGTTGTAAGAATGTGCAAATAGTTAAAGTACAAATGAGAAAATAAATAAACGTCTCATCCCCTGGGTTTCTAGTGTATCTAAAACATGATCCTCTTGGCCATGTCTCGTCCCCTGGTTTCTAGTGTATCTCTCTCTCTCTCTCTCCCCCCCCCCCCCCCCCCCCCACACACACCCCCCCCACCCCCCCAGGAGTGACCAACCTGGAGTTCAAGCGTCCCCAGGGCTTTGTGTACCGCTCAGGCCAGTGGGTGAGGGTGGCGTGTCTGGCGCTTGGCACAGACGAGTATCACCCGTTCACCCTGACGTCTGCTCCGCATGAGGAGACCCTCAGCCTTCACATCCGCGCCGTAGGCCCCTGGACCAGCCACCTCCGAGAGGCATACACCCCCGACAACCTGGAGCAACTGGGAACATATCCAAAGGCATGGAGGGAGGGATGGAGGGAGGGAGGGAGGGAGTGTGTGTGTAGGGTGGGGGGGGGTCTGTGTGTGTGTGTATTCGTGTCTGCTGCAAGTGTGTCTGTGTGCATGGATGTGGTTGGTTGGTTGGATGGTTGATTAAATCTTGCTGTCTTGCAATGCTTAACTCTATCACATATTTGTACTCCCATTCCACAGCTGTACCTGGACGGGCCGTTTGGGGAGGGCCACCAGGAGTGGACAAACTTTGAGGTGTCAGTCCTGGTGGGAGGAGGGATTGGAGTCACACCCTTCGCTTCCATCCTCAAGGACCTGGTGTTCAAGTCCTCAGTCAAGTTCAAGATACAGTGTAAAAAAGTAAGTAAGATATCCACCTGAGCATGTCAGGAACCACACTTCTTCTTCTTCTTCTTCTTCTTCTTCTTCTTCTTCTTCTTCTTCTTCTTCTTCTTCTTCTTCTTCTTCTTCTTGTGATCCACCACAGTATTTATTCTGTCCCATATCAGAGTAGAAGTAAATATGCCTCCTGCCTGTATGTCCTTAACCAATCTGAATCCATATGCCTAACCTTTGGCTTTGCCGGGGGAATATCCTGTCTGTCTGTAGGTGTACTTTATCTGGGTGACGCGTACGCAGCGTCAGTTTGAGTGGGTGTCTGACATCATCCGTGAGGTGGAGGAGCAGGACTCTCTGGACCTGGTCTCTGTCCACATCTACATCACTCAGCTGGCAGAGAAGTTTGACCTGCGCACCACCATGCTGGTGAGAGCAACCAACAAACGGTTTCCTGGACAAAGATTAAGCCTAGTCCTGGACTGAAAAACATTCTCCAGAACTAGGCTTAATCTGGGTCTGGAAAACTGGCCCTAAAAGTGCATAACATGTCACAGGATAAGAGTACAACAGTTTAGATATATTGTGGTTTAGTTGTAGCTAGTATGGTGCACCGGGAGGGCAGAGTTTGCACTTTAGGACTTCAGGACTTCAGGACTTTAAGACGTTAAGACGTTAAGACGTTAAGACTTTAGGGCGTTAAGACTTTAAGACTTTAAGACTTTAAGACGTTAGGACTTTAAGACTTTAGGACTTTAGGACTTTAGGACATTAAGACCTTAAGACTTTAGGACTTTAAGGCTTTAAGGCTTTGGGACTTTGGGACTACAGGACTCTAAGACTTTAGGACTTTAGGACTTTGGGACTTTGGGACTTTAAGACTTTAAGACTTTAAGACTTTAGAGCTTTAGAACTTTAGAACTTTAGAACTTTGGGACTTTAGGACTTCTGGACTTTAATATTTTATAACGTTAAGACTTTAAGACTTTAGGACTTTGGGATTTTGGGACTTTAGGACTTTAGGACTTTAAGACTTTAAGACGTTAGGACTTTAAGACTTTAGGACATTAAGACCTTAAGACTTTAGGACTTTGGGACATTAGGACTTTAGGACTTTAATACTTTAGAACTTTAGGACTTTAAGACTTTAGGGCTTTAGAACTTTAAGACTTTAAGACATTAGGACTTTAGGACTTTAGGACATTAAGACCTTAAGACTATAGGACTTTAAGGCTTTAGGACTTTAGGACTTTAGGACTTAAGGACTTTAAGACCTTAAAACTTTAAGACTTTAGAGCTTTAGTACTTTGGGACTTTGGGACTTTGGGACTTTAGGACTTTAGGACTTTAAGACGTTAGGATTTTAAGACTTTAGGACATTAAGACCTTAAGACTTTAGGACTTTAAGGCTTTGGGACTTTGGGACTTCAGGACTTTAGAACTTCAAGAGTTTAGGACTTTAAGACTTTAGGACTTTAGGAATTTAGGACTTTAGAACTTTGGGACTTTAATATTTTAGAACTTTAAGACTTTAAGACTTTAAGACTTTGGGACTTTAGGACTTTAGGACTTTAAGATTTTAGGACTGTACATTTAACAACAGTAAATGTAGTATGTGGTACTAAAGTGGGATGTCCTGATGTGTCTGGTCAGTACGTGTGTGAGCGTCACTTCCAGAAGGTGTGGAATCGGAGCCTGTTCACCGGCCTGCGTTCTGTGACCCACTTCGGTCGTCCACCATTTGTCTCCTTCTTCAGCTCTCTGCAGGAGGTGCACCCTGAGGTTAGTTACTGCTACACAAAACTGTGTCCTTCGTCTCCTTCAGCTCTGAGGTCAGTTACATAGACACATCCATCAGCGCCATGCTGCGTAAAACCTGATGCCAGACCTGTTTGTGCTGTTTAGACTATTATGTCGCTATAATCCGTTATCATACTATCATACTATCATTATTTTCATTATTACTCGTCCATAGGAGTTGGCGCTACAGCACAAACATCTCTGGAAGAAGACTATGCTACATACAGTGCATTCGGAAAGTATTCAGACCCCTTGACTTTTTCCACATTTTTGGTACGTTACAGCCTTATTCTAAAATGGATTAAATAGTCCCCCCCCCCCCCCCCCCCCTCATCAATCTACACACAATACCCCATAATGACAAAGCAAAAACAGGATTTTAGAAATGTTTGCAAATGTATTAAAAATTAAAAACTGAAATATCACATTTACATAAGTATTCAGACCCTTTACTCAGTACTTTGTTGAAGCACCTTTGGCAGTGATTACAGCCTCAAGTCTTCTTGGGAATGACGCTACAAGCTTGGCACACCTGTATTTGGAGAGTTTCTCCCATTCTTCTCTGCAGATCCTCTCAAGCTCTGTCAGGTTGGATGGGGAGCGTTGCTGCACAGCTATTTTCAGGTCTCTCCAGAGATGTTCGATCGGGTTCAAGTCCAGGCTCTGGCTGGGCCACTCAAGGACATTCAGAGACTTGTCCCGAAGCCACCCCTGCGTTGTCTTGGCTGTTTGCTTAGGGTTGTTGTCCTGTTGGAAGGTGAACCTTCGCCCCAGTCTGAGGTCCTGAGCGCTCTGGAGCAGGATCTCACTGTACTTTGCTCCGTTCATCTTTCCCTCGATCCTGACTAGTCTCCCAGTCCCTGCCGCTGAAAAACATTCCCACAGCATGATGCTGCCACCCCATGCTTCACCGTAGGGATTATGCCAGGTTTCCTCCAGACGTAACGCTTGGCATTCAGGCCAAAGTGTTCAATCTTGGTTTCATCAGACCAGAGAATCTTGTTTCTCATGGTCTGAGAGTCCTTTAGGTGCCTTTTGGCAAACTCCAAGTGGGCTGTCATGTGCCTTTTACTGAGGAGTGGCTTCCCTCTGGCCACTCCACCATAAAGGCCTGATTGGTGGAGTGCTGCAGAGATGGTTGTCCATCTGGAATGTTCTCCCATCTCCACAGAGGAACTCTGGAGCTCTGTCAGAGTGACCATCGGGTTCTTGGTCACCTCCCTGACCAAGGCCCTTCTCCCCCAATTGCTCAGTTTGGCCGGACGGCCAGATCTAGGAAGAGTCTTGGTGGTTCCATTACATTACATTTTAGTCATTTAGCAGACGCTCTTATCCAGAGCGACTTACAGTTAGTGCATACAATGTTTTTTTGTACGTTTTTTATTTTATTATTTTTTTAACATTATTTTTATACTGGCCCCCCGTGGGAATCGAACCCACAACCCTGGCGTTGCAAACGCCATGCTACATCCCTGCCGGCCATTCCCTCCCCTACCCTACCCTGGACGACGCTGGGCCAATTGTGCGCCGCCCCATGGAGGCCACTGTTCTTAGGAACCTTCAATGCTGCAGAAATGTTTTGGTACCCTTCACCAGACCTGTGCCTCGACATAATCCTGTCTCGAAGCTCTACGGACAATTCCTTCGAACCTCATTGCTTGGTTTTTGCTCTGACATGCACTGTCAACTGTGGGACCTTATATAGAAGTGTGTGCCTTTCCAAATCATGTCCAATTAATTGAATTTACCACAGGTGGACTCCAATCAAGTTGTAGAAACATCTCAAGGATGATCAATGGAAACAGGATGCACCTGAGCTCAATTTCAAGTCTCATAGCAAAGGATCTGAATACTTATGTAAATAAGCTATTTTTGTTTTTTTATTTTTTATTCATTTGCAAACAAATCTTAAAACCTGTTTAAAGCTTTGTCATTGTGGGGTATTGTGCGTAGATTGATGAGTAAAATAAATAATTGTATCCTTTTAGAATAAGGCTGTAACGTAACAAAATGTGGAAAAACTGAAGGGGTCTGAATACTTTCCGAATGCACTGTATGCTGTGCTGCTCCCTTCCAAAGTATTCAGCATCACTTCCTTGTTCTGTGTCCCCTCCTCCTCTGTGCTGCTCCCTTCCACAGTATTCAGGATCACTTCCTTGTTCTGTGTCCCCTCCTCCTCTGTGCTGCTCCCTTCCACAGTATTCAGGATCACTTCCTTGTTCTGTGTCCCCTCCTCCTCTGTGTGCTCCCTTCCACAGTATTCAGCATCACTTCCTTGTTCTGTGTCCCCTCCCCTCTTGCATCACTTCCAGTATTCAGGATACTTCCTTGTACTGTGTCCCCTCCCCCTCTCCATCAGCTTCAGTAGCAATCTACCATGATAAACAAATACTCACACACTGGAACCGATCTATTACTGTCAATCAATCAGAACAAACTGATCTACACAATTACTGTTTGTTTCTCTCTCTCTCCTCTCATCTCTCCTTCTATCTCTCTCTCTCATCTCTCTGCTCTCTCATCTCTCTATCTCTCTCTTCTCTCCTCTCTCTCATCTTCTCTTCTTCTCTCTCTCTCTCTTCTCTCTCTCATCTCTCCTCTCTCTCTCCTCTCTCTCTCTCCAGGTGGGTAAGATTGGTGTGTTCAGCTGTGGTCCTCCTGGTCTCACTAAGAACGTAGAGAAGGCCTGCCAACAGATGAACAAGGGAGACCAGACCCATTTCATACATCACTATGAGAACTTCTAACTTCTAACAGCAGGACTGGGGTATACCATACACCACTTACTACTGTGCCGAATATGGGGAATACCATACACCACTTACTACTGTGCCGAATAACAATGAAGAAAGAACAGCTTATGAGTTATTCAGACTAGATTTACGACTAACAAATTCTTTAACGTAAAAATCAAATACTGTATACTGCTTTTTTTTCGTAATACTGCACATCATCTGGAATTTTGTTCCCCCGAAACTAAAATTAATGAAATACAAATCTTACTCTTTAAAAGAAGTAGAATAGTTTGTATGATTTTTGTATGCTGATTAATACCTAAAGGCACCTGAGCAATGGAGCAGCTGCAAAATGGAGGCGCAAACGTATGTCTTTTTTTAACAGAATATTATCATGATCCATTGGGTCATTTGTCATTTTCAATGATTAGTAATGTTTTGAGCTAGTCTGTATTAAAACAGATGTGTCCATTTTTATATATGATACAATAATTAACAGATTGTATTTTGCACCCCCTCACCCCATCGCCTCAAGATGAATGGTTTAGACCACTTGAAAATGTTGCTTGCTCCTGCTGGCACTGTTTTAGTTCAGCGCCGTTAGAAAGCACTAGTTGCACCAGTGGTGTATAAAATGAAAAGGCACCTGCAAAAATAAAATTGTTTGTCCTATTTTGTTGTGCATTTGTATCATTGCTTCATGTCCGACGGTGTCGGTCCAGCGGTGTTGTCACATATCATTTGAGCAGCGTGCACAACGAGCATATTCATGGTATCATTTCACTGTCAGAACCATGATGAGCACGGCCCAGGCATGTCTTGGCTTTGTTGTATCGCTGACCTCTGACCTCTGACCTCTGACCCAAAAGGTTGCACCTTTGCAGAAAACTGTATGTCTGGTAGCTCTTCAGGCTGTCCAATGAGAAGCTACTGAGAAATAATCAGTAGTCCTAATATTACATGATTAAATCTGTGATTTTTCCCCCCCCCTCTCCAAGCTGTTTAAAAAGCATTTTAGACCATTATGCATTTTGACATCCCAACATCAATCGGTTAAATCACATCGTTAAAATGTTTTCATTCAGTTACAAAAGTAACAGTGCTGGCTGAGCGCACCGTGGTTACAATGTAGCCAAGCCGTGTATGTAAAATGGACAAAACAAGCAATTTCGACACTTTTTGCATCAAATATGTATGCTGCTGAGACAAGTTAATAAAAATAAAAATCATTGTGACAGCGCTTCAAACAAAGGCGGGTCATTCCACCAAACCAGTACGATTTGGACTTTGACATTTTATTTTTTACCAAAATACATATTTTTTTCTGAACACCCCACTACATGAAGAACATACACTGAGTGGACAACACATTAAGAACACCTACTCTTTCCATGACATAGACTGACCAGGTGAATCCAGGTGAAGCTATGATCCCTTATTGAAGTCACCTGTTAAATCCACTTCAATCAGTGTAGATGAAGGGGAGGAGACGGGTTAAAGAAGGATTTTTAAGCCTTGAGAGAATTGAGACAATGGTCCACACCCCAAAGGACATCCAGCCAACATTTGTATTTGTATTTTGTATTGATTAGGGATCCCCATTGGCTGTTGCCTAGGCTGCAGCTACCCTTCCTGAGGTAAAACAAAACAAAAGATAAAACAGTACATCATATAATATTATTACACCACTACATATCTACAATACAAAATGTACAATACCACCATACAACAATATTACAATGTACGTGTGTGTAGAGTGCGTGTGCTAACACTTGTGTTTGTATGCGTGTGTCTGTACCTTTGTGTGTGTGTCTCTTCACAGTCTCCGCTGTTCCATAAGGTGTATTTTTATCTGTTTTTTAAAAATCTGATTCTACTGCTGGCATGAGTTACTTGATGTGGAATAGAGTTCCATGTAGTCATGGCTCTATGTAGTACTGTGCGCCTCCCATAGTCTGTTCTGGACTTGGGGATTGTGAAGAGACCTCTGGTGGCATGTCTTGTGTGGTATGCATGGGTGTCTGAGCTGTGTGCCAGTAGTTCAAACAGACAGCTCGGTGCATTCAACATGCCAATACCTCTCACAAATACAAGTAGTGATGAAGTCAATCTCTCCTCCACTTTGAGCCAGGAGAGATTGACAAGCATATTATTAATGTTAGCTCTCCGTGTACAGTTAAGGGCCAGCAGTGCTGCCCTGTTCTGAGCCAATTGCAATTTCCCTAAGTCCCTTTTTGTGGCACCTGACCACACTACTGAACAGTAGTCCAGGTGTGACAAAACTAGGGCCTGTAGGACCTGCCTTGTTGATAGTGTTGTTAAGAATGCAGAGCAGCTCTTTATTATAGACAGACTTCTCCCCATCCTAGCTACTGTTGTATCAATAGGTTTTGACCATGACAGTTTACAATCCTGGGTTACTCCATGCAATTTAGTCTCCTCAACTTGCTCAATTTCCACATTATTCATTACAAGATTTAGTTGAGGTTTAGGGTTTAGTGAATGATTAGTCCCAAATGCAATGCTTTTAGTTTTTGAAATATTTAGGATTAACTTATACCTTGCCACCCATTTTGAAACTAACCGCAGCTCTTTGTTAAGTGTTGCAGTGATTTCACTCGCTGTGGTAGCTGACGTGTATAGTGTTGAGTCATCCGCATACATAGACACACAGGCTTTACTCAAAGCCAGTGACATGTCATTAGTAGAGATTGAAAAAAGTAAGGGGCCTAGACATGCCCTGGGAAATTCCTGACTCTACCTGGATTATGTTGGAGAGGCTTCCATTAAAGAACACCCTCTGTGTTATGTTAGACAGGTAACTCTTTATCCACAATATAGCAGGGGGTGTAAAGCCATAACACATACGTTTTTCCAGCAACAGACTATGATCGATAATGTCAAACGCCACACTGAAGTCTAACAAAACAGCTCCCACAATATTTTCATCAATTTCTCTCAGCCATACATCAGTCATTTGTGTAAATGCTGTGCTTGTTGAATGTCCTTCGCTATAAGCGTGCTGAAAGTCTGTTGTCAATTTGTTTACAGTAAAATAGCATTGTATCTGGTCAAACACCATTTTTTCCAAAAGTTTACTAAGGTTTGGTAACAGGCTTATTGGTGGGCTTTACTATTCTTGGGTAGCGGAATGACCTTTGCTTCCTTCCAGACCTGAGGGCACACACTTTCTAGTAGGCTTAAATTGAAGAGATGGCAAATAGGAGTGGCAATATCGTCCACTATTATCCTCAGTAATTTTCCAAGTTGTCAGACCCCGGTGGCTTGTCATTGTTGATAGACAACAATAATTGTTTCACCTCTTCCACACTCACTTTACGGAATTCAAAATGACAATGCTTGTCTTTCATAATTTGGTCAGTTATACTTGGATGTGTAGTGTCGGCGTTTGTTGCTGGCATGTCATGCCTAAGTTTGCTAATCTTACCAATAAAAAAATAATTAAAGTAGTTGGCAATATCAGTTGGTTTTGTGATGAATGAGCCATCTGATTCAAAATCTAATTTAAGGTGCTCCAAAGCTTTTAACTATCACTCATTCTGTCATTTATCTTTGTTTCATAGTCCAGTTTCTTCTTCCTTTTATTCAGTTTAGTCACATGATTTCTCAATTTGCAGTACGTTTGCCAATCGGTTGTGCAGCCAGACCTATTTGCCATTTATTTAGCCTCATCCCTCTCAACCGTACCATTTCTCAATTCCTCATCAATCCACAGGGATTTAACAGTTTTTACAGTCATTTTCTTAATTAGTGCATGCTTATTAGTAACTGGAATAAGCAATTTCATAAATGTGTCAAGTGTAGCATCTGGTTGCTCCTCATTACACAACACAGACCAGCAAATATTATTTACATCAACAACATAGGAATCACTACAAAACATATTGTATGACCTCTTATACACTATATTAGGCCCAGCCTTTGGAACTTTGGTTTTTCTAGATATGGCTACCATATTGTGATCACTACATCCGATGGATTTGGATACTGCTTTAAAGCACATTTCTGCAGCATTAGTAAAGATGTGATCAATACATGTTGATGATTTTCATTCCTGTGCTGTTTGTTACTAACCTGGTAGGTTGACTGATAACCTGAACCAGGTTGCAGTTTGAAGCTTTTCTTGAGTGGGCAGCTTGATGAAAGCCAGTCAATATTTAAATCACCCAGAAAATATACCTCTCTGTTGATATCCAACATTTCACGCATATTATCCAACATTTCACACATATTATCCAACATTTCACACATATTATCCAATATTTCACGCATATTATCCAACATTTCACGCATATTATCCAATATTTCACGCATATTATCCAATATTTCACACATATTATCCAATATTTCACGCATATTATCCAACATTTCACGCATATTATCCAACATTTCACGCATATTATCCAACATTTCACGCTTATTATCCAACATTTCACGCATATTATCCAACATTTCACGCATATTATCCAACATTTCACGCTTATTATCCAACATTTCACGCATATTATCCAACATTTCACACATACTGTATGAAGAAAATAGTAAAAAATTAAGAAAAACCCTTGTATGAGTAGGTGTGTCCAAACATTTGACTGGTTCTGTATGTTAATATGGTACTATTTTTAGCACTTTTCTGGGATGCTTGATTGTTTTTATTGCTTTACTGGGAAGCTTTATCAGAAGTAGACACGCTCAATTGATTTATATTTGAGCTGATAGTGCAGGGTGAGCTGCACACAGTGGACTTCCTACTAAGGGGATACCGCCTCAGTGCTAACAGGATAAACTCTGATTCATAAGCACATGATTACTGCATACCATAGCTGTAGGATCAACAGAGGCACTCAGAGCAGTTAGAGGGACATAAATTAGGTTACTTACATTGTGTCTACCGACGCCCCTGGGATAATGTACATTTGCTGCAGCATTATGACACCTCAGCGACACAATGGTAGGGATTTAACTGAGCTGGGCTTGGGTCATTGATATTATAACTCAGGCCAGTAAAACAC